GTCGCGAATGAGAAAACGTCGTCCCCTCCACTCTACACCCCCCCATCTCCAAACCCAGAGACTCCAATATGCCTTAATTAGGGAATATACCTTAAAAGGCGTATTAAGGATCCTACTATAATTTAAGGTATATTCCTTAGTTAAGGGATATTGGGGTGTCTGGGAACCCCGGCGCCGGCCTGTGCTTTCTCTTCAAACCATTCTTTCGCCTGAGTCCGAGCGGCTACTGATACTAAATATTCAAGCCCTCCATGTGGGAATTTCCGAGAACCGGGGGCCCAAATATAGTACCCGAAATAGTAGGATCCTCATTATATGGACCCACGGAATAAGGTGCCCCATAATTTTCGGCAACTCCCATATTCATTTCCAAGGCGAGCGGGGCAGGCGGGCCACAGGTTCCAGCTAAATCCTCCCTTTCAGGCTCGGACGGGCAGGTTCTTGTCACGTTTTCACAGCCTTTCAGAAGGACCCTTCGGGGGGGAAGGGGGGGGAGTTGGGTATTAAGGCACCCTACCCCCCCTCCCCCTACCCCCCTAAGGGTCCTTTTGAGTCTTGCTCGCAAGGAGCCGACAGAAAAAGAAGCCCAGTTCAGACCAACTCCTCTGCGAGCCCTGGGAAACCCAGGCAAAGCCTCTGTTGCCAAAACCCTGTGATTCTCAAACACCGCACCGTCTTAACACCTGCCATGCACACCTTCTTCTGAAATTCGGGCTTGCAGTGGTCCAGGTTCAGTCAGCCAGGTGATAGCTCATATAACTCCCCAGAGACTCCAATATACCTTAATTAGGGAATATTCCTTAAATTATAATAAGATCCTTAATATGATTTAAGGAATATTCCCTAATTAAGGAATATTGGAGTCTCTGGGTCATATCCCCAAAAAGAAAGAAAATCGCAATAGTAACGCTGCGAGGCATAGTTCAACCGAGATTTTAGCAAGCAGTGATCGTATTTTGGGTACGGCCCCGGGCTACTGTTAAGGTCCTTATATCTCCATATTATGAATATTATCCTACACCCAAGTCATAGTAACAGCAGGCTCGAAGGTTGGGGTGCAAGTCTGCAGACCGCTCGCCGCCGTGTTGCATTGTCCTCTCCAGAGGTAAGTCTGATGGAGTTGCGGCGCCCAAGGACGTTGCGACTGGCAGCACAAGCACAAAATAGGGAGAGGCTAGAATGGAAGCAAAAGTAACCCTCATCCCTAAACCCTAAACCCTAATCCCTAAACCCTCAACCCTTAGCCCTAAACACTAAAATCTCATAAGCTCTGAGCTCCAACGCAGGGCACCTGTAAGGGTTCCCTTTAACGGGGTCTACTTTGAAGGGAATTATGGGTGGTTAGGACTGGAAATTAGAATAGGGTTTGGGGGCCCATTATGTTCTAACTATCATAAGGAATCCTCCAAAATAGTATAGGTATTTTTTTGAGGTAAGTTGCACAACCATGCACCCGAATAAACCCGAGTTTAGGTGTTTAGGGTCTAGGGTTTAGCCCGCATTACGGCTTTATATGGCCCCTCATGGGCTTGACAGCTTAAGCTCTGGGCTTTTGGGCTTGCGGTTGAGGGCTTAGTATTTCTAGGGCTTTGGGTTTGAGGAGTTTCTGGTGCATGGTCTGGGCTGCAGGCATCAAGGATTCGTGCTTCTCAAAAGTGTTCAGGGCTTCGAAACTCATGCTAAACCATACACCCGAAACCACAGCCACCTGTGCCTGAAGCGATGAAATACTTCACCGGAGAATTTGCCCGCACCATCTTCAGCACGATATCCATCATGCTGTAGCCAAAGGTCTAGCTAGGTGGCGATGTCGCCGCGGGCCCGTCGTGCCGCACTGAGTGGGCTCCCGGCCTTCATCGGCGGCGCAGCGCCGCTTGTGGCAACGATGCTTTCCTGCACTGCTCTGGCCGCTCATTGCCGTCCCCTCGCCGTTGACGGTGTCGAGGGCGGCTGGGCGGGCTTCATTGTTGTGACCCCTCGCCAATCTCGCCGGGTCCCGGTAAGTGCCTCGGCAGTGGCCGACTCTGGGGCGTCCAATGACTGGAGAGCCAAACTCAGACTCCATGGCCGAGATGACTCAATGACGTGCAGAGCTGAGAGATCAGTGCGATCTCGACAAACAGGCACTAAGACTTTCAGGACTCTAAACCCTAAACCCTATAGACCTTCAACAATGGTGTGCTGGCTACCGCTGAGCCGGCGCTGCGCTTGTCTCCTTAGGCGTTTAGAGAGGTGTACATGAGGGAGCTATTTGGGTTCAAAGTTGGGTTCTAGAGGCTTTGGGATTTAGGGCTTAGGGCTTTGACGGGTTTGGGATTTACTTGTTGAGGGCTTACGGCAGTTTCGTGCGGAAGGCTGTTGCAACATCCACGGTTGCGGACCCAGGAGATAAAAAGCTACCGCTTAGTCGCAAGAAGTTGTTCAAGAAATGCTAGGGGAGCTACATGTACAATTAATGATAAACCCTAGTTGAAGTACATATGAACATGCTGATCCTTGTTGGGGATAAGGCCCGAAACCCTTACTTGGGGGGCTGAGGGTGTAGGGTGGAATCTAACCTGAACCCCAAACTCAAAACCCTGAACCCTACCATCCCCCAAACGCCCCAGAACCCTGAACCGGACCTTGCTTTCGACCGCCGCAGTTTGTTGTTGGAGTCCTGCCAGTAAATGCTAAGGCCCCCATACTAAACTATATTGAACTTAGACCTCCAGCAAGAATTGCAATTTTAGCGTAAAGGAGCCGAAAATTAGAAAATATTTCTAAGTACCCCTAAGTAAAGCCTTATAGAAAACCTTGTAGAACCCTTATAGTAACCCTTAGACCCCCGGTAAAAGAACCAAAAAGGAACTTCTTAGAAGCCATATAGCAACCGCAACCCCTATAGACCCCTTTGAACGGACCCTGAAAGAACTCGTTTCAACCCTTTTGAAAAGCTTAGGCTTATAATATAGGGGCCTTAATAATTAGAATAGGGTCTTGGGACCCATTATACTACAATTACAATAAGGACCCCCCACCCCAAGAGAAGTGGTAAGGACCAGCAAAAAAAGTATAGGAAGAGATTAAGGCCTCTATATTAGACCCCTTTCAAAGGAACCCCTACAGGAGCTCCCGATCCTAAGGCGCACATGAGTCAGGGGGGCAGAGGTCGGTTGAGGGTTTAGGGTTTAGGGTGTCAGGGTTTATGGGTTTCGGGGTTTTACGGGTTTAGGGGTTAGGGTTTTGGGGTTTGGGGGTTTAGGGGTTTAGGTTTTTGGGTTTACCCAAAAAAAGGAATAAGGGCTTACCCCGGGTCCTAGATGAAGTTTGAGATTTAGAGCTTACCATAAACCTTAAACTTACCACAACGTTGCACGGCTTGTAGCGTCCTTGCTTTGGGGCTGAGAGGGTTTACGGGCTTAGGCTTCGCACGTGCTTGGCATGCAAGAGAGAAGTCTTGTGAGATTCTGCCACCTAAGGTGTTTTTTTGAGCTCCTTTTTCCAACTGCAGTTATCCCTTGGTCGGAAGGCCCCATGGGCCAGGAGGGCGGGGTCGTTTCGATTTTAGGGTTTAGGGTTTTAGGGTTTAGGGTTTGAAGGCTTTAGGGTTTTAGGGTTTAGGTCACTCGGACGTGCGACCGACACTAAATAGGGCCTAGCCATCAGACTATTGCAGAAGAGTGTTAGTTTAATACGATATCAGATTGGCCTGAGTCAGTACACCATGGTTCCTTCAATAAGGGCTCTGCAAGGGATAATAGAAAGTGCTCTTTTTAGCGGGCTTGTTAGTTCGAATAAGCCTTTGGGGTAGGTTCGACTATTATGGATAGTGTCGGAACCATTAACACCCAGACCTTCGAACATTCCTTAATTAAGGAATATACCTTAAATTATAGTAGGATCCCAAATTGGGTTCTGCTTACGTGGCTGACTCTTCGCCTACACCAAAGCGAACGTCTTTGGGATATGATTTAAGGTATATTCCTTAATTACCATGGTTTTGATAGGAACCCTAAGCTTCTACCCAGAGACTCCAATATCCCTTAATTAAGGAATCTACCTTGAACTGTAGTAGGATCCTTAATATGATTTGAGGTATACTCCCTGATTAAGGAATATTGGAGTCTCTGGGTCTACAAGGTAAGGGATCTATAAGCCCGAAGACTCCACTACTATAATTTAAGGAACATTCCTCAATTAAGGGATATTGGAGTCTCTGGGAGGGTACTACAATATGCCTGGGAGTAATAATATACTGATGGCAGGTGACCCTTGGCTCGTCTCACACCTGCCTGCCTCATCAGGGCTTAGGGTCTAGGCTTCAGGGTTTAGGGTTTAGGGTTTAAGGTTTGGGGTTTAGGGTTTAGGGTTCACCTAAATCTGGCTCAGGGTTCTAGTGTTCAAACAAACGTCTACTACTAGGCGTCCTCTCTCTTTCGCTGCGTAGTCGCTGTAGAAGGAGGCTTTTGTTTTTCAGGGTCAAGGGCCGAAACCCTAAACCCTAAAGCCCTAAACCCCTAAACCCCCAAAACCCGAAACCCCTATACCCTAAACTCTAAAGCCCTAAACCCCCAAACCCGAAACCCCTAAACCCGAAAGCCCTATCAGGGGTTCAGGATTTGAGTCTCCAGTGCCTAATTTGGACCTGGCAGATTCCGGGTTTTAGGTTGCAGGGCTTTAGGGGGTTATAAAAGGTTCTCGAAGATGCCGGGCAAGAGGGCTTATGCAGTTTATGCGCCTACCATCGCTCGCGGCACTCACAGACTTTTCGCTTACAGCACAAGATCCTCAGGAGTTGGCAAGTTTAAAGCTCTATAGGCCAATGCTATACATCTGCACATGATGCCGTGTCCAAGCTTGTGACTTGATCAAACAAGGCGGTACATCGAACAAAGTGTTTCATGATGCACCAAGCACTGAAGAGGAGGATACAGATTTCATCACTCCTCCTTGGGACTCCCTGCTAAGGGCGAACCACCGACACTTGTAAATGGAACCTTTATGGATCCGACTCTTCATCAGTAGATCCGGTTCCCGCGGTTCTCAGCACAACATCGGCAAAGTTGCACGCGAGTGGTTCTTGTAGCATTTCGCAATCCCCAGCAGTTGTCGAATAAATGTAGCTTATCGCTTCCTTGAGTCATCGTGAAAGGCCCTTCGTACATTCGAATCTCAACCGGAGGAGGAGGCTGAACTCGTTGGAATGCTGGCGTATGGTCGGCCTGGGTCTCTTTATCACACATGACTTTTTCCTTCTTTGGCTGCTTGTTGAACATCGAAGGTGGTGAGGCGCTACCTCGGGGAACATCATCAAACATAGTACGTCTCGTTGGTGGTGCGGCACTCCCACAGGGCTCTTCGGGCAAAGGAGTTCTTGTGGCACTTCCGGAGGGAACATCACTCGGCACCGTCGGAACAGGAGAGGTGTTAGGCGGCATAGTTTGTTCGAACCTTTCCTTGAGTTCATACATTCTCTTCATCTGCTCACTGGACAGCTGCGAGGGGTTCAGGGAAAGAAGTCTCTGAAGCTCCTTGAGTTCGGTCTTGTTGAGCTTCAAAGCCTTGGTAGCCTTGCATTTCAGAGCCTTGAGCCTAGCAGCTCTGGCTTTGGTACAGCTCTTCATTCCTTCCCAAATTCCAATGACCGCAACCGCCAGAATCAAGATGGCAATGTACAAGTCCCATGGGATTTCGGTGGCTATCGCTTCTTTTGAAGCTTTCACACCACACACCTGGCACAGCATCAGAAGCTTCATGAGCCATCCATTCTCAACTTGAACCGCCTTGACAGATGCCGTCGATGAAGAAGTCCTTCGATCAGTCATATTCCATAGTTCAACGAGTTCCTTCAACCTTGATCGGGTAAATGGTTTTGTTCCAAGATCTGCCTTCTGAAAGGTGCCCGCAACATGGTGAACACGTACTTCATTTGCTTGAGTTCGCTCCTTCATCCAATTGGAACGTAGTTTTAAGTGCCTCGTTCTCCAACTCCCTGTTGACGCCGTAAGAAGCGTCACAGCTGCCTGGTTGTCAACATACAAGTCGATGACAACTGTCTTGCAAAGTATCTCTTGTATCACTTCCCGAACCGACATTCCCAATAGCGTGCCCTCAATGCCCTCAATCAACTCGCTCTCAGCCGTGGAAAGCGTAACGAGGGGCTGCCTTGAGGAACGCCATGTCAAAGGGCTTTTTCCAAGAAATACCGCCGTGGCTCCATGGCTCCGTCCAGCGCTCGGGGCGAAGGAGGAATCGGTGAAGACATTCAACGTAAGTTCTCCCTCTTCCGTAGGATCAGAAAGCCGTATTCGATATCCGATCGTCTCCCACAGGTAGTCCAGGAGTCGTTGACCTATACGATTCACCATCTCCGGGCTCTTTGTGATTTTTGACGCCATCAATGCCGTTATATACTGAATGTCTGGCCGTGTGCGGCTCATTAGCCACATCAGTTCTCCGACCCTCTTTTGGGCCTCCTTGACCTGGGGTTCCAGGCCTGACAAGTCAACCGGTTCGGCATTTAACAAGGCTTGTTCTTCTTCATGGGACAGGATCAACAGTTCCTTGGGGCCCTGACTTGTCGAGCGGGATCCATCATGTCGGTACGAACGTAGTAGTTCTCGAACGAAACCTTCTTGGCACAGCTCCACCGCCCCTTTCTCAAGATGCAGCTCCATTCCAAGAAACCTTATGGGATGCCCTTCTTCAAGAACTTCTAAGGCGTCCACTTCCCACTTGTTGGAAACCCAGTCGAAGAAACCCTTCATCATCTGTTCCTCGGCCTGAATCAGGAGGTCATCAATGTACACCAGGACGTAGCCATAGGTCTCCGAGCTCTTCCCATCTTCACGGACTATCCTCCATATTTGATCATCAGAAACCAGCTGTTCCAACTTCATGACCACAGGTTCCCCTTGCTCCAGAACAGTCCATCGTGCTTTTCTGAGCTCGGCATCCCTGAACTGGGACCATAAGGCCGGCGACTCGCGCAGGCCGTAGATGGCCTGTTCCACAAACCACATGTCCCCGCGCTCCGCTAAGCCAAGTTCATAAGCTATTGACGGTGGCTCCAAAGCCACTGGTTGCCCCAGCCATCGTGCCAGGACAAAGGCCTGGCGAATGTCCGTTGTTCCAATTTTCCATTGCTTGCCGGAGTTTAGGGTAAGAATGGCCCTGAGCGACATGGCATCAATACCGGCAGCAAAGAGGTCGAAGCTGGAAGAATCCTCTGGTACATGATTTCCACAAGCCACAAATCTCGTTTTCCGTCTGTAGCCTTCAGGTCCTTTATCTGGCTTCACGGTGTAGACACCCTTGCAGGGAACAATCCTGCAGTTTGGAGGTAAATCCGCCCGCTTTCGCACTGTGAAGGCCTTCTTCACATCCTTGAGGTTCACAAACTCCTTGTAGGCTGAGGAACGCCACTTATCGATGTTCTTCCGTACATCCCCAAGACTCACGTTGTGGGTCACCTCTAATCCCTTTCCAGACTTCTTGAGGTCGTCCAAGAGGGTCTCGATCTCGGGAGTGTACTGCACCTCTGCCTTCTTGATCATCCTTTTGATATGATGTTCATGGCATTCAGCATCAGGAAAGGCCCTTTCGTAATCCTCACCAACATCTTGTGAATGAAGTAGTTCCCCGTCCTCAAACTCAACAAAGCCAACTTCAACAATGTCCTGCATCTTGATGGCCTTTAGAGCTGGTACATCGTCTCCTTCATCCTCTTCGAGGTCGGTCTCCTCCTGATCGTCGGTTTTCATGTCAAAGGAGAAACCCGCATTGTTGAGGTCGATGATATTTTCCTCTGTGAGTTTTGAGGTCCGAGGGGTAAACAGGAGCATCACCAATCGGTCACCAACCCATGGTTGAACTTCATGCCATACTCGAGGTTTGAACTCCACCTTGCGTCCCGGAACCATCTCCAGAAGCCTCCCAGGAAGCACCTTTCCATTGGATAGGGTTTTTTCAACTCGACTCGCTTCTGGTACTTCTTCATCGTGAACCCACAGCTCACCTCCTTCAAAAAGTTGGAGAGGCATCGCGTAGCTCGTAGAAGATCTCGAGTTGTGGACATCTCGATGCAACCCTAGCTGTGCATTCTTTGCCAAGCCCAGGGCTGAAAACTCAACAGGTCCACAATGATGCCTGGCGAACGCCGTCAAGTAGTGGGTTGTCCAGGGGTAATCACGGACATTGTTTCTCACTCCTGCAACCCCACCATGAACGTAGGCCCCTGTGTACCAGGAAGTAAATGAAGTTTTCTTAGAGGTCCTTCTGTCCACATCTCCGAGGTTTTCTAGGAGGCCATATAGGTCAACAACGTTCTTTATGTTGAAGTCCTTTTCCTCCACAAGCTTCCTGGAACGAAACTCTATCTCTTCTCGCAGCTCCTTCCGGGATGGAGGACGTTCATCACGCAGTAGTTCATCCGGTAGTCCTTCCGCGGTGGCTGGAGGTAGTAGATCACGTAGTTCTTCAGCGGGACTCACGACACCAAACTTCACGCTTTTCGCTATCGTCAACCCACCATCATCACGTAGAATCACATGTCCTCGCTTCACATCCATCAGTGGGCCACCATACCATCCCTTCTTCCACCGGGTTCCAATCGCCTCGTGCTTCTTCTCGGCCTTGCCCTGGTAGACTTTAGATCGAAACCACACCTCGTTGCCGAACGCGGTTGCTGGTTGGGTTGTCCACGGGCTAAAAGGAAAGGCTTTGGCAAACAAACTCGCCGAAGCATGATTCACTGCCATAGGCCATTCCTTTGCATCCATCCCAGCTCCCTTCAGCAGGGCCCTTATGCGGCCCTTAGCCCACTTCACTCCCAGCTCGGCGGTAGAGTTGCCAGCCGGATCGCCACCCGCGGTTTTCGTGTGACGTAGGTTTGAGTCCACGGTCCACTCCTTGAAGTTTTTCGCCTTGAACTCCCTTGCGCGGTCGGTGTGCAACACATCCACATGTAGGCCACTTTGTCGTAGCTGAAGAAGGATTTCTTTAGCCGCTTGAAGTACATGAGGTCCGGTTCTGCGTCGTAGTGGACGTGTGATATAGAGGGTCGCCGTTTCCAGTCCTTTATTGAGGTCATCCACTGCTTCATCCAATGTCTCGGGACCATACGGCTCCTTATCGGTGTCCTCTCCTCCTGAAGACTTGTCCTCCAGCTCCGATTCGGTGTCCAGCTCGAGGGGGTCGTTCTCAAAGTCCTCAGGCTCATCTGGAATGTAGAGTTCTTTCTCGTACTCCGGGATGGCTGACGCACTCATGTACTCCTTTGGGCACCTGTACGCAGCAACCATCACGTACTTGTAATCGTCGAACTCAGTATCTCGACCCTTTTGTTTGAAAGGCCCAGCCAAATCCAGAGCTACCGAGTACAATCCCGGCATCTTTCTCCTTCTGTGCTGGTACCCATAGGCTTGCGCATTGATGCAAACCGAGCAATCAGCTCGATAAGGCTGGTGATCATTGAGCAAGTGTTGTTGCCATTCAGCTCTCTGTTCTTTTGTAAGTTTGCTCACTTTCACACCCGCCTCGATCAAGTTCTCCTCCTCAACGAAGCTGCCGTCCATGCCCTCAGTGACCGCTTTAACGACCATCATCTGGAACTTCACTGGCCACTGGCGCTTCTCCTCCTTGGTAATCAGAGAGGACGGAACACACGTATCTTCAAAGTCCCAGTTGTTGTTCATGTCGTAGAGCGACGGGTAGTTCGTACCAACTGTAGTCGGTCGCTTCCCTTTGTGGCCGTACGCGCCCATGTTGAAGGAAACAGTCCGCATTCCTCCAAGAGACCTGAACGCTTTCCAGAGTTCCAGTTCCCATACAGAGGGGTAGATTGGATCCTCGGGGTCCCTTTTCTCCTCGTTGGCCGGCAGCTCCATCATGAAACCCACCGGTCCCTTCGAACTCGCCGAGGAAAGGGCCCAAATCAACATCTGCTTTGCCATCACTGCAGTCTCTCGATCAAGCTGTTGTTGTTGAAGAGGGGGTAGTGCTTGACGTCCATGTGGTTCAGTCTGGGTACGCTTCAACCGATCAGTGGACGCCCATCTCTCGGAGGCTGAATTGATCCACGTCTCCGTTCTTGGTGACCCCAGAACATCGGACACCCTTCCTGTAGCGGCTGCCCATAAAAGCAACTGATACACTGCGTTGGGACGATTCAAGTCCCACAGCTTTGAAGTCTTTTCGTTCACATTCAACACAATCTTTCCACTTTGCGGGATCATACGGAAGGGGCTGAGGTCCTGGTCGCCTTGTACTTGTAGATTGATAACCCACATCCGCGAAGCCATCAGCGCTTTCCTTTGTCTCCTGGTAAGAGGAAGAGCCTTCAAGTAAGCGTCCCCCTTCGAGACATCAAAGCTTTCCAACATCAAGGTGTGCACGTCAGGAGGAAGGTCCTTTGTGAACGGGCATTTCATGAGGGTCTTCAGGAGGCTCGCGCGGCTTCCTGTGGTGGAATATTCACCTAGCAGCTCCGTCCAACTTCTCTTTTCCTCCAGCTTGATGACTTCCAAGCGGGCCTTAAGAGTCTCCACATTGCTGTTCAAGGCATTCACCTGTTTCAGCTCCAGCTCTCGTATCATGGCCAACGCATCACAGGCAGCAACTTCTGGGCAATGGTTGTGTATCTTGACCCTCACTTCGCCCTTGTCGGGGTGAGTGAGGCGAAGCTTGGTAGGACTCCAGTGGAGGGTGTAGCCCAGTCCTTGAATCAGCGCCCCAAGCGGAACGATTGGCTGGACTTTTACGTCCTCCTCCTGGACCAAGATCGTGCCCTGGAGGTTCTGCCTAAGGATCTTCTCGTCCTCGCCGGCCAACGTCACCTTAACAGGCTGTGCTTCCTCGTACTCATCCGTGGTAGCTGGCCGCATCGCGTGGCTAGCCCCTGTATCCAAGAGCCCACTTGCGCTTGGATCCTTCTCTGGTTCCTCCTCCTCGTTTCGCAAAGTTGCACATCGTGGTAGAGAAAGATCCCGTACTCGCACTCCAAGCTTCTTCAATGTAGTGGCCGTCATTGACTTTAACACTCGCCCCACATCCGCCAACACTTCACGAAGGTCATTCCCAACAGGTCCCTCACTGCCCGGATGGTGAGCCACTTCCGCAACCTCAGGTTTCTCGTCAATCCGGACAGTCTTCGTGGTTGTGGTAGTTGACGAACTGGTGGTGCTTTGAGGCTTCTCAGCTCCTGCCTTTGGGGTGCTGTTGTTCGAAGTAGGAGGTGTGTACTTCTTGTTCGGGCAATCCTTCGCTGCGTGGCCCTTCCCCCCACAAGCCAGGCATCGGTCTCGTTTATCGAGACCTTCCCATGTGTGGGCAAAGGGGCACCTTGATGCCCTTGCACATCCCTTTGCTGTCCTTCCGAAGAACTTGCAAGGGACCTCAGACTTCGGCTTGTCGTGCTTTGGCGGTTCTCCTCCTCCATTCCCGGACGGGGGTGTAGGTGGCGTGGCCTTCGTAGCAGGTGGAGAAGGTGGTCCAGTCTTGGGTTCTCCCCTCACAGGCTTCAAGCGAGGCTCGGACTTAGGCGTAGTTGCCGGAGTTGTAGTCGTTGTCGTCATTCCAACTGCCAAAGCCTCACATTCTCCCATCAAGTGGCGGTAGAAGCTCTCGACACTCTCGTAGCTTGGGTTTGTGTCTATGCGTAAGTTCGACTTCAGGAGGGAGGTTCGAAACGAAGCATCAGGATTCTTGTCCAGCACCTGTTTGACCAACCCATTGAGGCCTCTCGTCAACAAACTCGGGTCAGGGGCTTGAACATTGAGTTCACGACATCGCCGAAGCCACCTGTTCCAAGTCCTCAAAGACTCCACTGCTCGTTGAGGGTCACTTTCAGCTGGAGGGGCTTGCAAACTGTTGAGAATCTTCACCTTTTCGGTCTCGCCCCCGGGCTGGTAAATCTGTAGTAGACGGAACAACAGCTTCGTCGTGGAGTTGGCCAGCCTTCGTGCAACGACCTCCTGCTTCACGGACTCCGGAAGAGCCATGATGATCATAGAGGCGGCCCTGCTATTAACCCTTGACCAGTGTCCATCTTCTTGGCCTTCAGTCACTGGCATCACAGTCAGCCGTTCCACTGGGGTGGCTAAGGACCAGACTCCGTAGGCCCGGTGTGCCTCCTTCACGACCTTCTTCCACCAGCTCGCCGAACCATCCGAGAGATCCGACATAGGAGCGTCTATGAGTTCCATCCAATCCATTATGTCCACGCATGACGTCTCCGCGGAGGGGTCTTTCAAGACAGGGAGTACATTGGTACCCGGCTTGATGTTCTGCGGTGATCTTTCTCCGTCGCCAGCCTTGTCGTACTGTTTCATCATAGCCTTCTGTAGCTGAGTGATACCATCAGCAAGCAATGCCATCTTGCTCTGAGACTCATTCTCCCCCAGCCATTGTTGCGCCGTCTGAGTCGGCATCGCCTGAGATTGACCATCACCCTGATCACCGCACTGTGGTGGATTGCCTGGTGGTAGTGGATCTGGAAGCCCGTCAGGTACAGCTTGACTCTGAGGTAGTGGACCGTGATTCCCTCCTGGTACTGTATGACTCTGAGGTAGTGGACCGTGATTCCCTTCTGGTACGACACGACTCTGAGGTAGTGGACCGTGATTCCCTTCTGGTACGACACGACTCTGAGGTAGTGGACCGTGATTCCCTTCTGGTACTGTGTGACTCTGAGGTAGTGGCCCGTGATTCCCTTCTGGTACTGTGTGACTCTGAGGTAGTGGCCCTGGATTTCCTTCTGGTACGACATGACTCTGAGGTAGTGGCCCGTGATTCCCTTCTGGTACAACACGACTCTGAGGTAGTGGCCCAGGATTTCCTTCTGGTACGACACGACTCTGAGGTAGTGGCGGAGGAGGCGGGCCTGGTGGTTCAAACCTCAATCTCGGAGGAGGAGGCCTTGGTAAGGCCCCTGGCGTTACATCCATTCTCCTGTGAGGCGCCGTCTGTCCGCTCTCATTTGCCGAAGGGCCTGGAAGAAGAGCAGGATCTCCCCCCGAAACAACATAATCTTGAGGAAGAAGCTGATTCCCTTCACCATACATCCGAAGCAACCTTTCACGATCCCTCTCTTCTCTCAAGCGAAGAACTTCCCGTTGTAGGATTTCCAACTCCCCTTGATATCGCTGCTGATACTCTTCCAACTGTCTTTGAACTTCCGCCTGAAGCCTTGACGATCTCTCTGACTCACCTTCCGAACCCTGTCCGTGTCCTTGTGCGGGACCATACAGCTGAGGAAAATCCAGCTGTGCTTGCCGTAGCTGCGCAACTTGAAGAGGTCCAAACAACGGAGGATTCGGCGGAGAAACTCCGGTCCATGATCCCGGGATTCCCGGCACCTGCGGTGGAAGCTCTTCCGGCGGAGACACATTCAGCTGCAACGTTGAATGCACTCCCGAAGGTCTCACTGGTCTAGTAGGCGCCGGTAGAGGCGGTATCCCCAATCCATCCAGCATTCTGTCCACTCCAGTAACTCCCCTTGAAGCCGTAGTACGCAAGAATTCAGAAACTCGCGTCATCCAACGCAGGCCCTGTCCTTCTGGGACCGGCGATGTTTGTGTCGAGAAAAACTCCTGTACTCTCACCGTTGCACTCCTCGGGGTCGCTGGGGTAGGTACTTCACCAGAAGCAGATCGAGTGCCTTCTTCTATCGTAGTTATAACGCGTGCGCCCGGGTCCGGTATCCCATACGGGGGATCAACCATGTGCGGTGGTGAAGGAATCCTGCGCGGGGCCGTTGTAGGTCCAGGTCTATCTCCCGGCTGAACAGTGTCCTGCAGATTGGGGTTTCCCAACGTCTCCAGTCCTGAAAAACCCGAAGTGTCCGAACCTCTTGGCCCTGTCCCATTCACCAAAGTCGCACTCGAGCTCCTTGGCGGATCATCGCCTGAAATCGTAGCGGAGTCGCCCTCGATCAATTGGGCGCTCATAACCTATAAAAGGTTCTCGAAGATGCCGGGCAAGAGGGCTTATGCAGTTTATGCGCCTACCATCGCTCGCGGCACTCACAGACTTTTCGCTTACAGCACAAGATCCTCAGGAGTTGGCAAGTTTAAAGCTCTATAGGCCAATGCTATACATCTGCACATGATGCCGTGTCCAAGCTTGTGACTTGATCAAACAAGGCGGTACATCGAACAAAGTGTTTCATGATGCACCAAGCACTGAAGAGGAGGATACAGATTTCATCAGGGGTTTAGGGGTTTAGGGTCTAGGGTTTAGGGATTAGGGACTAGGGATTAGAGATTAGGGTTTAGGGATTAGGGTTGAAGGTTTAGGATAGGAATCTGATTAACACACCCTGGATCTTTGTTAGGGTTCCTTATATGAGTCCTCTGCAGACCCGGGGTTCCTCAAGCAGGTTCCTACATTAGAGATTTTGAGAGATCGGGGCTTAGAGCTTTACGGCTTTAGGGTTTAAGGGTGGAAAGCGGAGGATGGGTTTTTAGAGGTTATGGGTTTTAGGGTTTCTGGGTTTTAAGGCTCTGCGGGCTTTAGGGCTTTCGGGTTATAAGGGCTCTGTAAATGTCATACGCATACTTGAAGGCTCATGGGACTTAGTAAGTAAGGTTATAAGTAGGTTATAATTGGGATAACCCCACTTAGGTGACTTATAACCCCAACTATAACCTACTTACTAAGTCTACTGCTTGCGGAAACTTGACACGCTCTCTCCTGGCGGGTGTTGTGTATGAAGTCGACAACTTCGTCTTCGTCATCTCCTTTCGGGCACGGTTCGTGGCAGACTTTTGTGGAGGATGGACTAGTAAGGCCAGGCATTAGGGGCCTACATGTAAATAATTACCTATACTATTTTTGAGGGTTACCTATCATATCTATAGTATATATAATGGGCCAAGAGCTGTCGCGGGAAAGGCACAGAACCACTCGCGCAGGAGCGCAAGAACAGAGAGCAGTGCGAGCCTCGTTCCACGCCATGAGATCTGATTTCATGCTTGATGTCTGATAAGACCTGGGTTTTAGGGCTTCAGGGGTTTAGGGTTTAGGGTTTGGGGGTTTAGGACTTAGGGTTTTAGGATTTTAGGATTTAGGGTTTAAGACCTGCGAGGCCAGAAATCCATTCAACTTTGAAGCTGCCCCGACCATGCCATGTGGTACGGTAAACCCCATAAAGTCTAGACCTAAGAGTAACCTAGGAATAAAAAGGGTGCCCTTTTTGGCTTAAAGGGGCTTATAAGGGGACCTGAACCCCAAAAAAAGGGAATAAGGGCTTACTCTGGGTCCTAGAAGTTGGAAACCGGATTGAGGCCAAATAGTGCTGGGATTCCCTGTACATTACTCTTAAGGGTTGAGGGCTATTGGATTTCAACTTTTGGGCTTCTGCTGCAGGAGTCTGGGGGTTTACGGGAGTAGAGGTTTAGGGTGCGCGGTGAACTTGCTGTAGCATTGCTCCAAACTAGCCAGGGATTGAGTAGGGCTAGAGTGCTACCCTAAACCCTGGACCCAAATATAGCGGCCTTAATAATTAGAATAGGGTGTTGGGGCCCAGCATGCTATAATTATAATAAGGAACCACCAAAACTACCAATGCCGCTATATTAAACCCAAAAACCTCAGGATGTGCAACGGAAACCCCTGAGCACAAGACCGTTGAGAGAGTGGTGGTCACCCGGCCACTGGCATTAAGGGTCGTGGCCTGCACCTGGCGGTTGCTCCAAATTAAGCTATTCGGGCTTGGGGGGTCCGGTTCGGTTTTGCCTTGAGTGCGTGTAGGACGGTTCTTGAGGAGGACTTTCCCCTTTAACTATGTCATGTGTCCTAGGAGCCCGGATTGGGACGACAAGGCACAACGCCTCCACTGCTGAGCTGTGGGGACTCAGGGCTTAGGATAGAAGAGCTTACACAGCGGTGTGCTGGGCGTGCCGGCGCAGGCCGATGGATTTTGTGGATCTGAGGACGGTGGACCTTCCATGCATGCTGTCGGTATCGACAATCAGCTGACAATACGAGCATCAAACCTTGAACCCTCAATCCTACAGACTTTCCACCACAGGAACTCCCACTTCAATCCTAGAACTCAAGCTTAGGGGTTAGGACACTGTCTTACATTACCCGATGGCTGCCTTCAGCCGCTTGTGCAGCAGAAGCATCATATTCTGCTTGGCGTGCTCCCAGCGGGTGATGCCCAGGGTGCTGACAAGAAATGGGCTGGTAGTGGCATTGATGACCAAGGTCCTTAATTCAGGGTTGAGAGTCTATAGGGTTTAGGGTTAGGGCTTAAAGGCTTAGGGTTTAGTTCAGGGCCTAAGACCCCTGAACACCATAAACCCCAGAACATAAAAAACTTAAAACCCTGAACCCCAAACGGCCCAAACCCCCAACCCGAACACTCACTTGGGCCGAGCGGCAGGGCGGCTACTCCGCCTACGTAGAAGAGCACGCGCTGCCCATCTTCCGAAGAGATGACACCTTGAGGCTTTGCATTTCTTGAGGTTCGAGGTTTCGGGTTCAGGGATCTATAAGGGTTCCTTTAAAGGGATCTATAAGGGTTCCTTGAATGGGATCTATAAGGGTTCCTTTAAAGGGATCTATAAGGGTTCCTTTAAAGGGGGTTTCGGGCTTGGGGGTTTAAGGATTTCGGGTTTAGGGGCTGCGGGGTTTGCGGTCGAGGGTTTCAGGCTGAATTGGGGATCGAGGCTTCGGGCTGTAACCCTAAACCCTAAACCCTAAACCCTAAACCCTAAACCCTAAACCCTAAACCCTACCCCATGGCCCTTTAATGGAGCCGTAATGGCCCTTAATAGTAGGCTTGGGGTATATTAGAGGGTAGTTGGGGGGTCTAGGTAGGGTGTGACTAATCTTTATAGGGAACTCCAGAAAGTTGGAATATGGATTAATGGTAGGATCCCCTATAATTTACCTTACAGGGGTTACGATAATGATATTCCAACTTTCTGGCTTCTACTGTAGGGTTTGAGCTCTAGGGCTGCATTTCGGTTTGGGATCCGGGGTCAAGCTTTGCACACCCCAAGAAACAAGGCGGGCAGCGCATCCCTCTACCTCAAAGCCAGCTGGTGATCAGCCAACGAAGTCCCTCTCCATGCGATTTTATGACGAGAGTAGACTCCTTGGCTTGAGAGCTGCCCACCCCAGCCTCATCCGCAACCCGTAAATAACGCATCCCGAACGAGGCCTTAAAGGTGGCTGTGTTTTGGATTCTGGACTCCTCTTTGTTTTGACGTCTGCTAGCAGAGTGCATGCAGATGACTTTGCCTTCCATGGTTTGTCAATGTTCCAGTGCGATGACATGGGCTAGTCTTTTCCATTTTCAGGGCGATTCGGCATCGGCTAAGTTCGTCCTTGTCAAGACAAACTTCTGGACTCCTCTTGGTTTCAAACTAGATTCACCAAATCAACAACAGCACAACACTCAGAGTTTGAATTATTCCTCAATTAAGGGTTTCTGGGATGGCCGAAACCTTTGGGCGCGCGAACCACACACACCCTGGGTTTAGGGTTCTCCCCCAACCTAACTCCTAACCCCTCTCGCCTCCGGCACGGCTGTTGGCCACCTATCGTCGGTCAAAGCATCAGGCTTCGTAAGTCGGGAGTACGAAGATTGCGCTGGGTGGTTTGTGGATTCATATGGTTGTCTGGTGTATGGCTTTGTAAGGTTGCAATCAGGGTGACACTAGGTAGGGCGTAGCATGTGGAGTTTGGCATTGGGGCTAAACCCAAAACCGTAAACCCTAAGCCTGAACCCTAAACCCCAAAGCCTGAACCCTAAACCCGAAACCCTACACCGTGTTCTATGGACCCCCCAGAACAGGTACCCCCGACCTTCACATGCCCTCGTAGAACACATCATCAGCAAAGCCGAAGCCCATCGAATCCCTGCTTTGACCGGAAACAAGCGTTCAATATAGGGGCCTTTATAGTTAGAATAGGGCTTTGGGCCCATTAAATACTACAATGATAATACTAAGGAGCCCCCAAAATAGTATAGGCAATTACTAAGGCCCCCATATTACATCTTTGGAAGGCTACCATAAAGGTTGCCGGAGGGCTCCGTCTGCTGACGGAGTTCCATTCTAAGCCTCTGTCCATCAGACACTCCACAAGGTATAATGTGACTTTGGTACCCCAAACATCTGAACCCTAAACCCTAAACACCTGAACCGGAAACCCTAAACATCTGAACCCTAAGCCCTAAACCCTAACCTCTGAACCCTGAACCCTAGACCCTAAACATCTGAACCCGAAACCCTAAACATCTGAACCCTAAACCTAAACATCTGAACCCTGAACCCTGAACCCTAAACATCTAAACCCTGAACCCGGGATGTCCAGGGCTTGGCTAATTCCCCACGCGCTGATAGGCGAGCCATGCCCGCAAGGGAAGTACCAGATCCCAACAATTAGTAAAGCATGGTACTCCAAAGCCTAGAAACCCTAACCTTAGCCAGTGCTCAGGCATCCGGATCTTTGTTTGACGGTCATCTGGCTGTCCTACTTCTCCAAAACCCCCAATTTAACTATTAACCTTGAAACCGTAAGCCGTAAATTCCTTAGCCCCTTCAAACCCTGAATCCTGGAACCCTAAACCCTAAACCCTAAACCCTAAACCCTAAATCCTAAACCCTAAACCCTAAACCCTAAATCCTAAACCCTAAACCCTAAACCCCAAAAAAGGAACTACAATACATTTCTGAAACCCGCCTGGATGGCCAGGGACAGACCAACGGCGCCACGGAGGCCGCCCCAGGTTATCACCATCACTTCCGCCAGTGAGACCTCATGGTCTGAAGCGGTATAACTGGGTTAAGGAACTCTGGGTTTCAGGGTTTAGGGTCTTAGGGTTGAGGGTTAAGGGTTGAGGCACTTAGGGTGACGGGGCTTCGGGTTCAGGGTTTAGGGTTTGGGGTTCAGGGACTAGGGTGATAGGGTTTTGGCTTTAAGAGTTTAGGGGTTTAGGGTTTTACTGAACTTTGAGGCTTTAGTGTCTGGCACGGCCCCCAATTGAATAAGAGGCCCCGCTCTCCTTCGGGAATATCAGGTGCATTCTCTCTGGAAGGTCCCATCCCGAATGAGAGGTTTGAGGTGTCGGGACGGTCTAGAGTGTAGGGTTTAGGGTTTGGGGATCAGGGTATAATTTACCCTAAGGCTCCATAGTATTTTTGGGGTTCATATATCGCATCCCATAAGGTAATCCCAAAAAGGAACTACTTTGGAGCCTCTGGGAGACGTAGCAACCCAAAACATGTAATGTTTGGGGACCCAGGTTTCTAGTGGGCTTTGAGCCCAAAGGCTCCATGTACCATTATAGTAGGTACTTAAGCCTTAAAGGGGTTACTATATAGGTACTTCAAGGACTAAGTATATACTATAACGGTACATGGAGCCTTAGGGGAGTGGAGATCCCTTTTGGACTTGTCTCGGGATACTACGGGGAATGTGGGACGTCATCATCTGATCTGACGTATCGCTTCTATAACTCTCGTTACGAGGTGGCTCACACCAAACCACCGAGCTGAATGAGCTGATGGCGGCCATCTAACCAACCTGAGCATGCAATAAAATCGTCCTTACACTTCTGCTCCTGCTCGCCAGAGACTCCAATATCCCTTAATTAAGGAATATTCCTGAAATTATGGTAGGATCCCTTATATGATTTAAGGTATATACATCCTTCATTAAGGGATATTGGAGTCTCTGGGTCCAGCGACTCCACTTGACTGCGAAGGTCGAGCCTCCCCCTCCGCTCCACCTCACGACTCTCCTGGATGGGAGGCCAAAAAGGGGGGGGGGGTTCAGATTCTTCGGGTCGGGATTAGGGTTTAGGGATTAGGATTTAGGGTTTAAGGTCTTCAGTGACGGGAGGCCAAAAGGGGGGTTGAAGATTCTTCGGGTCGGGATTCCGCAATATGAACCCTAGTATGGCAACCCTAATCCCGACTTAACCCCCATAGGCTAAAAGCCCTTTTGGCCTCCTATAACTCCTTGCGCTCGTTCACCTCGGGAGGGCCTGCTTGTCCGCAAGGAGAGGCGATTCAGGTCACGCTGCATGCGGTCCGTCTTTTCAAGATGCAAGGCATCCTGGACCGCAGCTCCCTCCACCGCCGATTCAAATGTCCATACGGACTTGAAAGAATTTGAACTCTTCTTGCTTTAAGTAATGGTGCATCTCATGGTGCACAATACCTAGAGGCTCATACCCTGCCCCTTTTTTAGGATACCTAGTTTTATGGTTGGGATCTGCTATCTTAAAAACTAGGCGCCCCCAAAAAGGGGTTAGGTATGAGCCTCTATGTAACAACAAAGGCGAAAGGGCCGCTGAAACTCAAACCTATCTCTGACGTCGACTTTTCCTCCACCCATCCCGAACCCAGAGACTCCAATATCCCTTAAGTAAGGATTATACCGTAAATCATATTAAGGATCCGACTATAATTTAAGGTATATTCCTTAATTAGGGGATATTGGAGTCTCTGGGCGAACTCTAAAAGCCTCATCACTTCCACTGGCTGGCCAACTGTAATCTACCCATCACATCGACGTGCACCATCATAAACCCTGTAACTACCAAGCCGACAGCTCCAAAACCCTAAACCAGAATCCGCAGTTCCGGCCTAAACCCCAGACCTTTAACTTGAAATGCTCATAAATTGACCATGAAATCCGGAATACCGAGCCACTACTTAAAAACTTACACATTTTCTCGGGGCATTGCTGGCTCACGTCGCGGGTGCAGGAGTTTTAGCACCGGCATGGAGCAGAACACCAGCAGGAAGCCTCGTTGCCCAGAGACTAAGAGATGCTTCAGTGAAGGAATACGACCGAAGATGCCACAAATACTTGGGAATTGTTCTCATACGTTGAGGTATATTTAGTCTCAGTGATTCAAAGGTTTGTGGATCTCTGCCTTAGCCCACCGTTTTGGGCGTGAAGAATTCTTTTGGAGCTGCTTTCTGCTCTGGTGCGGAGCGGCCACGATGGCCACAGAAGGTGTTTAAGGTTTCAGGGTTCAGGCTTGAGCTTAGGGTTTCTAACGGGCCGAGTGGCCTAGCCCGAAAAGGGCTTACCTTTTCAACTATGGTAAGGATTATATGAACCCCGACAGGTTCAAGGCTACCTACTCAGCTACCGCGGCTTAGAGTTCGGTCTTGAAGTTCAGGGTCTGGGCCTTCCCGAAACCAACTCGGAACCTCCAAGAGCTGAATGCGAAGGACAGCAATCCTGCATTGGATGTCCTTTTCAATTCCTAGGCTTCGCGAAGCCCTATGAAACCAATTTCCGCATCAGAGCTGTAAACTCGCCCCAATCCCGACTCACTAAACCCATATAACCGTAGAACCCTAGAACCTGTAAAACACCCCCAAAACCCCATAACAGCAAAACCTCTGAAGAAGTCGGGACCCCTCCCTGTGGAAAGCAAGCACTCCTTCAGAATCATACTTAGAATAGGGTTTCGGGACATATTGTACTACTTTAGGCATCTATATTGCCCACAGAGTCGGGCCTCAGCTGGGGTTTTCAGTCTAGAGTGGATTGATACAAGCTTAAAGCTTCGCGGACAGTTAGCGTAGCGACAAGCTGCACATGGATACTCGGAAGGAAGCATCGTTGAAGACCCATACGGGAATTTCCGAAAATAGGGGGGACCCTAATGTAGTACCCTAAATAGTAGGATCCTTATTATAAGAACCCCAAAAATAAGGTACCCCTAATTTTCGGAAACTCCCATAGGGATCTGAGGCTCGAGGGTTGAAGGCTCGAGTTCCTAGAGCTCAGGGCGTAGAGCTTTCAGAGCTTCGGTTACTTGGAGGGTCGGGGGACTTAGTAAGTAGGTAGTAGCTAGACTTATAAGCACCCTAAAAGGGACCCTAATTGGGTTTATGGTACTTATACGTCCCTAAAGTAACCAGTTACTAAGTCCCCCGACCTTCCAACTAGGTTTCGGGTGCATCGCGTCCTAGATTGGACATACCCCACTTGGGCGCTGGCGGACAAGGACAAGCATCACGTAAATCACCTTGAGGCGGTGTGGATTCTATGATCTAAACCCTAAACCCTAAACCTGTGCTGAAGTTGCGGAGCTTGCTGGGGTGTTGCTTGGGTTTGGCTTGGGCTGTCTTTCGCTTGGGTTCGGCATTGTTCCCAGAGACTCCAATATCCCGTAATTAAGGAATATACCTTAAATCCTATAAGGGATCCTACCATAATTTAAGGAATATTCCTTAATTAACGGGTATTGGAGTCTCTAGGTTGTTGAGCTTTTTTGTGGGCAGGGCTCGGTATGAGGGGTCATTGTGCAAATCATCCTTATTACTACTTCAGCTTTTACTTGGGGTCTCTCAGTTTCTTGGTCCTACCCGCAAAAGGACTTGACAATGTAGGCCTTCCAAGGATTTTCGCAACGATGCTTTTGCGTTTGCGCGGCTCTAAGCAAACCCCGGCAAAACCCCCTCTGCAGGCCTTAGCACCAGACCCATGGTAAACCCTAAACCCTGCACCCGCTAAAATCTCCACTCTAATCCTTATTGGGTGGTTGTCAAAATCATGGTCCCTTTGTGGGCCCTTATTATAATACGGCACATAGTATTTCTGGGCTTTTAAGTAACCAGGGAGAAAAAGTATAAACTTTAATTTCGTAAGGGTTCCTTTAAGAAAAAAAGTATTAAAGTATGGTACTCCACAGCCCAGATTTAGCTTACGCAAAAACGGGCCATGCTTGTGACAACCACCCTTACTCTACACTGAACTTAGAACCCTAGCCAAAATTATAATTTTAGCTGTTTCTTAGGGATTATAATAACCAAAGATTAAAAAATATTTCTAAGTACCCCTAAGTATTCAGGGAGTTTTGGGAGCCCGAGATCCCCTTGAAAATGCAGCATACATCTAGCATCACTGCATCGGGGATAAGGGTTTAGGGGTTAAGGGTTTAGGGGTTTAGGGTTTAGGGTTTAGGGGTTTAGGGTTTAGGGTTTAGGGGTTTAGGGTTTAGGGCAGTTATGATTTGAAGTTACTAGATTCCTCTGTTAGGGTAGTTTGCGGTAGTCATACTCCTTGAGATACAGTCTTGGTGTAATACCTAAACCGCCAGATGCCTTAAATCCTAAAACCCAGAACCCTCAAACTAAAACCCGAAACCCGGAACACCGTGAAACCCTTAAACCCTGGCCTAAAAGCCTAAAACCTTAAATCCCTCAAATCCCTAAACTTTTGGAGTCCTGGAATCATTGGGTCCCACTGACTATGCTGAACTTAGGCCCCTATCAAAAACTATTATATGTGTATCTGCTTCTGGGCGGATTGTAGGAACAAGACATTAAACGATATTTCTACGTACCCCTAAGAACTAATTCCTAAAACCCTGAATTTCCGAGAATCCCGAAAATCCCAGACTGGAGGAGCCTCCTGGAATCATTGGGCCCCTGCGAGTCCCCTAAACCCTACTTGGAGGCCCTTTTGACTTAGTAAGTCTACTTAGTATCCCCTAGAAACCCTATTATAATCCCCATAACCCAGCTTACTAATCCTAGTTACTAAGTCAAAAGGGCCTCCAAGTAATCCCTAAACCCCTAGTATAGGCACCTGATTAAGAAACCTTGGGCCTTTGTCAGGGCTCCTTACACGAATCCTACTGTTTTGCGGTTATAGGCCCGGGGTTTCTTAATCAGGTTCCTACATTAAACTCCCTAAACCCTAAACCCCTAAACCGTCATTAAACCTTATCTTGCATGCCCCAGTCGCCAGAAGATGACCCCAGTCTTGGGCCTCGATCTTCACCATCGCATTCCTGAGACTGGGTTCTTGCTAAACCAGAGGGTCCATATATACTACCATTATGGAATTAGGTCCCGAAAGACCATCCCTGTAATGGCTTTGGGGGCCTAATTCAACAACGGTACTGTAGTATATATGGACCCTCTAGGTAAGGGACTTCATTTTAAGCTACTACGAGTATAATATTTACTCATGGGTTTAGGGTGTTTTGACAGCTTTGGGCCTTCGCGTTGTAGGGTTTAAAGTAGAAGCCAGAAAGTTGGAACATGACTTTAGGAGGATTAGTGCTAGGATCCCTTATACTTTACCTTAAGGCCATGAGGGTAATGATGTTCCAACTTTCTGGCTTCTACTGTAGGGTGGTTTTGTAAGCTCCTTTTTATGTCTGACCGATCCCAAGAGCAGACAGGGTTCTATCATGGGACTTAGTAAGTCAGGATATAAGTACTGTACCTTAAGTGGGCTTATAAGGGCTTATAAGTATAGTTACCTTATTTATATCTCCAGTTATAAGTCCCATGGTCCTTTGAGAAGGACCAAATGGATAGGGCTTGGGGGCTTGGGGTTTAGGGCCATGGCGCTTGGTGGTAGCGTTTTGGGTTTGGGGTTTAGGGCTTAGGGTTTGAGGCTTAGGGGTCGGGATTCACGGTTGTTCGGCTTCCAGGGTTACGGTTTAGGGTTTAGGGTTTAGGGTGAGCTTCCGGTTTCGATGGCAAGCCGGACCCCAACCTCAAATGTCATCTGAAGTCTTGAGGTAGGGGTTCTATCTATGGTTCAGAGTTTAGGCGAATTTTAATTCCTATTTAGGATTCCGGGCGGAAGCTTCGGGATTTAGGGTCTAACATACGGGCCTTGATAGTTAGAATAAGGTTGTTAGAGATTTTAAGGGTGTATTATACCCCTGGGACTCTAAGCGTTGCTGGAGCCTAGCTTCCTCAAACACAAGGAGCCCTAATGTAAAAGCCTCAATAATTAGAATAGGGTTTTGGGCTCCTTTATAGTAAAATCAGCATAAGGAACCCTGGGGAATAATGTTGGAAAGTTTATCCGGTACCTTAATTTAGGCTTCTATACTACAACCTGGAAAGCCCTGAAGCCATAAAGCTCTAACCCCAAAGCCCTAGAGCAATATCGGCAAAACTCGCAACCCCTACAATTCATCCCCAACAGGAAGTGTAATAGCATAGGGGCTTTGATATTCAGAATAGCTCTTGGGTGCATGTTACAGTATAGATAGAAAGAATAGGGAACACTAAGGAACAGTATTATACTATTACTAATTCAGGCTTCTGCTTGAAAGCCCAAAGACCTATACCCTCTCTACTCCCCAGACGCCTAACCCTGGACCCGAAGCCCTAGGCCCAGGGCGTCTGCCAAGCTGCCCAGTGAGTGCGCCTGCGAGGAAGAAGATCAGGGTATTGCACCTCACTCAAGCGGGCCATCGAAGATGAGACATCGTTCCGGGTTTAGGGCTTAGGGGTTTAGGGGTTTAGGACTTAGAGTTTACGGTTCTGTGCACATGGGCCGCCGGTGCACAGAAGGATGGCATGCTACAAGCTTCTAGTCTCGCGTCAGAGCTGCACCATCTGCCTATACGCGTTCAAGGTGACGAACCACCAGCATGTAACCCCTAAGCCCCAAAACCCCGAAACCTTACAACCCTGTCCTGCATCAACCAAAATGCCTCATGTGAGTCTCGTGTAGGCCACAAGCAGAGCAACCACTGCTGCAAGCGCTCAGAACCTAAACCCTTACCCTAACCCTAAACCGTGAACCCTAAATCCTCAGTCCCACACCCCTACACCCCTAAACCCCTAAACCCTAAACCCCCTAAACCCTAAACCCCTAAACCCTCTGTAACTTTCCTAAACCCTAAACCCTCTGTAACTTTGCCTCCGACAAGGCCAGAAGCTCCAATAGATAGCTCAGGCACATGTACTCGAAGACGTGCCAGAAGCTCATCAGCGATTCCCTGGTTTAGAGTTTAGGGGTTCAGGATTTAGGGGTGTAGGGGTGTAGGGGTTTAGGGGTTTAGGGGTTTAGGGTTTGAAGGTTCAAGGGTTTAGGGTTTAGGATCTTAGGGTTTTAGGGTTTCAAGTAAGCTCATCCGCCATCCCCTGCAAGGAGCGATGCTCTAAGGCCCAATCCCTGCTGAAACCCCAGGCCCTACCTAACCCTACCCTAAGGCTCCCGGACCCTTGTAGTGAGATCCCAAACCCTAGCCCCCAAAGCCGAAACCCTCCCCCAGAAGGCCCAAGACCCTCTTAAGAGCCTTAGGGTAAACTCCAAAGCCCGAAACTGCAACAACTGCAACCCCTGACACAGCCCCGAAGCCCGAAAGACTAAACTGCAACCTCTCCCTTCGGTGAGGTCCTGTCGACAATGGCTGGCCACATCTTGTGCGCCAGGACCAGTGCTGCGGCGACCGTGGCCAGAACCTGTCAGGAAACCCTTGTTGGTGAATTTGGGTTCAGAAAGGGTTTAGGGATTAATTCTTAGGGGTTTTAAGGTGGAGGAGGTTTAGTTTCCACTGCCCGAAAGCAAGATGGGGGCTGCTAGGATTGCTCCACTGAGTCATGAGGAAGCAGTGGTAGTTCTGCAGACCTCTTTATTGAGCCCCCCTGACCCTCCTGAACCCGTTAACCCTGAACCCTCCACCCTTTAACCCTAACTCCAACCCTTATGAACCCCTAGGATGCCCACCTAGGACTACAAAAAAGGGAATAAGGTGACTACTGGGCATCCTATAGTTATAAACCCCCTAATGCAGCCGGGCTGCGCCACTGGCGCTGAAGAGGCCCTCTGAAAGGTAGAAGCTAACGTAGGCGCATCCGAAGGTGATGACGGTTTGGATGATCCTGAAAGAGCTGAGGGACTAAGAGAATCCTGGGGGATGCAGGCTTCAGGTGTAACAAAAGGGTTTAGGGTTTAGGGTTTAGGGTTTGTCGGGGTGGCTGTGGGGCATAGCGCAGTCTTTGTTTGTAAGGGCTAGAAGGGCATGTGATGGGCTCGGGATGGCCCTGCCACGTGAACGTCTCAGTGGAGGGCCCCCCTAAAGTGCCGGAAACCTCAACCTACAACACCCTTCAAGCCCCTAAACCACAGGAAGGAATCCCTAAAAACAAGTCTCAAAGGAAGCTCTAAAGAAACCATTGAACCGTAAATCCCAAGCCCTAAACCCTACCGTAAGCGTACCCGACCACAATCTTCAGGGGTTTACAGAAACCCTGAGAGAAGCCTACAGTACATCCAAGGCCCTAAGTCCAAATCCTAAATCCTTCTAGCCATCCTTCTATCATCTTATAGTCATAGTATCATACCTCTTCCGGTGTCCCCTTATGCTAGCATTGTAATATCCCTTCAAGGAACCCCTTATAACAACATTCCAGCATCATCCCTTAAAGGAACCCCTTACAGCAGCATTCTAGCCCCCCTTTAAGGGCCCCCTTACAGCAGCAGATCCCTTAAAGGAACCCCTTACAGCAGCATTCTAGCCCCCCTTTAAGGGCCCCCTGGATGGAACCCGTCCATGCAGCCCAGGCATCCCGCTCGAATGATCGAAAGGGCTGCCCACCACCTTCAAGGAGAGGTAGGCCAGGAGACCTAGGCTGCGAAGATTCCGAAAGGGTTGCGGGTTTAGGGCTTGATGATGTTGGGTTTAGGGCTTGGGGCTCTCAGCTTAGACTGGGATAAGGAATGAGATTAGGGCTTAAGGTTTACGGATTAGGCTCCGAAGGTGTTGGAAGGGTTCAGGAGAGGCTGCGTTACACAGAGGTTATAGGGTTTTACGTTCTATTCTGGCTTTGCAGGGCTTGACGTTTGGGGTTTAATACACAGCCCCCGACACCTTTAACTTCAAGAATTCCCTGATGCATGGAAGGCTCTACCTGTATCCCCATTCAAAGCCTACAAAATAGGTTATGACCCCTGAATAGGGTCTAACCCCTAAAACCATAGGTTTTTTGGATCTCAGGTACAGCTTAGGCACGGCCCCCATACAGTAAGAGTCTATAATAGGGCCACTATTAAGGTACTACTATATCTATATTATGAATAATATTCAACTATTACTGAGTGGGGGCCGCACCCAAACCATGGCCCCTTTCGAATCGAACGCAAGGGCCGGTTCGAGCTTGGGACTGAACGTCATCGTACTCCGAAGCCCTTCCAACATCCTCAACGCAACATCCTCTATACACACCTGCATATGTGTGTGTATATATATATATATAGAGAGAGAGAGCTTTTATTACGTTATATCATAATGTATAATATTAGTTTATGCAAAGTTTTACATATACATATATATATATATACATACACACATATCTATATATATATATATATACATATGTATGCACACACCGAATTTATAAAATTGTATTACTATACATAGATCGGATCCTGAAACCCATGCCTCAAACCCAAAGAAACTTCTTTAAAACTTCAAATCGCAAGCCCCGAGGCCCACCACGCCGCCCGTGGCCAGGGCAATGGCAATTGTTCCTGGACATCGGGGCAGAGGGCCTCGGGGTTTACTTGAAGGCTCATGGGACTTAGTAAGGGCTCTTAAAGGGCTCCTTAAAGGGATCTATAGGGTTCCTTAAAGGGATCTATATGGGGTTTAGGGTTTAGGGTCTACTTAGAGGCTCATGGGACTTGGTAAGTAAGGTTATAAGTAGGTTATAATTAGGATAACCCCACTTAGGGGACTTATAACCCCAATTATAACCTACTTACTAAGTCCCATGATCCTCTAAGTAGGTTTAGGGTTTAGGGGCGCTGAGGGTCTCAGGTGAATCCGGCGGGGGCCGCCGTTTAGGGTTTTTTTCGAACACCTTTTCCGCCTGCCGTAGACGAAAAGGTCTCGGAGACCAGGTGACTTTGTGTCCCGGTTTCACGCCGTTTAGGGTTTGGGGTTCAGGGCTTGCGGAAATGCACACCGAAAAGAAGATGTTCTCAAGCCCGAATACCTACAACAAGGTCACTAACTTATCAACCCCTCCATGGAAGTAGACTCTAGGGTAGCCTTGCTCTTACACACCACCAAAAACTCACTCCATTCTATACTAGGCCCCAGAGGCCCCACCACCCTACTCTAACTAGTACTATACCCCGAAAAACGATTCTGATTATTCCTATGCCCCCAAGGACCCCAAAACCCTTTTCGAACCAGCACTATAAATCCCAAAACCCGATGTTAATTAGTACTCGGCCCCCAGAAGGCCCCAGCACCCTACTCTAGTACTCTTCCCCCAAAGCCCTATTTCTAAGAACCCTAAACCCTAAACCGTACGACGTCTTAGAAGGGCCCTCAAAAAGGCGCGAACCGAAGCCAAGGCTCGCGTGAGGAAGTTCACCGCCTCGTGGGCATCATAGGCCGTGCCTCGGCCGCAGGATCGCGACAGGCTTAGGGTTTTAGGGTTTTAGGGTTTTAGGGTTTAGGGTTTAGGGTTTAGAAGGTCGAGGGATTTAGGGTCTATGGCACCCTCATCTTTATCGTAGAAAGAGGAGAAGGAGGAGTAGTAGTGGTAGTAGTAGTAGTAGTAGTAGTAGTAGTAGTAGTAGTAGTAGTAGTAATAGTTGTAGTACTGGTAGTAGGAGACGCAGTAGCAGTAGTAGTGGTAGTCGTAGTAGTAGTAGTCGTCGTCGTCGTAGTAGTAGTAGTAGTAGTAGTAGTAGCAGTAGCAGTAGTAGTAGTAGTAGTAGTAGTAGCAGTTTGCGGTTGTAGGAGTCAAAATGATCAGCGAAGCTTGGGCCCACACCTTCCAGCATGCTGTAGGCCATGAGATACCTTTTGCTTGGGGCTTCGGCTGCAGCGATTAGGGTTTAGGGTCCAGGGTTCAGGGTGTGGGGTTTAGGGTTTAGGGAAAGTTTAGGGTATGTGGTGTGGGGTTGAGGGTTTAGGGTGTGGTGATTGAGGGTTTAGGGTTCAGGCTTCCTGACAGCCTCAACCTGCAGGAAAACAAAGGCCAAATCTGGCAGCAGGTCTCAGGCCGATCCTTAAACCCCTAAAACCTAAACCCTAAACAGGAACATTAAACCCCTGCACCCGCAAGTCCTACGAAAGATCGGCGCGTGACCTTTGGGGCAGAGTTCGCTGCTCGGGGAGAGAGTTCTCGGGCCTGACACTCTTTTGGAAATTGAAGTAGGTAGGGGTTAGGGCTTAGGTGTTTGGGGTTTAGGGGTTTGGGGGTTTAGAGGTTTAGGGGTTTAGGTTAGGGTTTAGGGGCTTAGGGGCTTAGGGGTTCAGGGTTTAGTGTCTAGCGTATAGGCATGTAATTTCATGATAGTTCCTGCAAGGAACAGGTCCAACAAAAGTAGACCTAAGAGTAACCTAGGAATAAAAAGGGTGCCCTTTTTGGCTTAAAGGGGCTTATAAGGGGACCTGAACCCCCAAAAAAAGGGAATAAGGGCCTACTCTAGGTCCTAGACAAAAGTAGTCGAGTATGGCCCACCAGACCCCAGTCTGGGACACCGGAGGCCAAAGCGCCCAAACCTGATCTCTTTATCAAAGGGCAAAAGGAGGGACCCTTAATAAGGACCCCTAGGTATATACCCATAATCTAGCCATTATATACCCCTTATATAGCCCATTATAGGGTAGGGGTCCCCATTAAGGGTCCCTCCTTTTCCCCTTTGATCTTTAAGCGCGCAGGTACCCTCCACCCTGAGCCCCTAAACCTTGGAGCCTCCGACCCCTAAACCCTGTAACAACCCTAAACCCCGAAACCCTAAACGCAACACACCGAAACCCCGAAAGTCTAAACCCTCAACCCCCAAGGGTTGAACCTTGATGGGGTTCTGTCCTGTTCCTTTGGTCTTGCGGCTCCTGAAACCGCAATCCTAGTTCCTATATCCTAGTTCTTAAACCTGCAATCCTCGTTCCGAAGGTCCTAAATCCTAAATCCTAGTTCGTGAAGTCGAAGAGCTTCCTCTAACCGAAAAGACCTACCTTTTTAAGGAACTATATATAGAAACCATGAGAAGGAACCCTAAAACGCTGGGTCTTTTCGGCTACTGGTTGTTCCTAAATCCTAAATCTTAGCATTTCAAGATTTCAACAATACTTTCATGCAGGTCTAGGAGTCTTAGGGTTCTTTTCGGATGGGAGGCCAAAACGGGGGCTTAAGATTCTTGGAGTAGGGATTCCTTAATATGAACCTTATTGTGGGAATCCAAATCCCTTTTGGCCTCCTATGATTTTCAAAGGGCAAAGGACTTTCTCTCCCCAGAGGTCTGTCGCACCTAAAGAGGCCTGCCCTCAAGACTCACCCTTCACACCTTCAGTCTCCCAACGCTTTCACATGTCTTAGGGTTTTAGGGGTTCAGGTCATTGCGATTTTTGCGGCTTAGATGTCTGTGGCTTTGGGTTTTTTTGGGCTTCCCGGGGCTCTAGAAATTACTGGGGTTGTAGGATTAAGCTTTATGAAGCTTTACGATGTTAGGATTCGTGGGGCTTTCGCATTTTGGGTTTTTGGCGATCAGGGAACTGGGATTCGGGATTCAGGAACTAGGATTTAAGCCTCAACCGACAGCATAGACTTTGGCACCCATGAACAGCGAATCTGGGAGGGTGGGGCGATACTAACTGCATTTGTGGTACACAGTGGGCTTGTAGGGTTTAGAGTTTAGATGATGCTTGTGACGACGATGGCGATGAAGACAGCAACGATGATTGCTATCAGGGGCAGGGTGACAAGCTCTGGAGGAGAAAGCCCAAGACCTCTCAGTTATCAGATGCAGCCCTAAGCTATGGGTTGCCGAATGCAACGGTACTTGATGGGTCCAAAGTCTGATGATGTTGATGTTGTGACTAGTTCGTACTCCTGCTAACTAGACTACCGGCGTTGGCTAGGGTTTCGAAGAACTGCCAACGTATGGAGAATTCCGGGCCTCGTGCAACCTTTGGAGTCCGTTGCAAGATCTAAGTTGGTACTACTACAACAACAGAGCTTACCAAGGAGGCCTACACAATAAGACTGGACTCCAGGCGTGAATAATCGAAGGAATTTAGGGCTCCACACCGCGACTATGAACAGGTCAGCGAAAATCCAAGGCAGTATATTGCTATTCCTAGATAGTAGGTTAATTACTGGCCTAGTACAAGCAAATGAGTTTCTGGCGAAATATTCCCCTAATACTCAAGCCCAAACTCTCGATTCTTGGCTGTTGCGATTGCGGGTTTCGGGAGTCGGTTTGCGGCATTTTGGTCTTTAGTTTGGGGTGGATAGGGTTCTGTCCGGAATTTCGTGTTTGGGTTTACGGCGTGGTGTGTTGGTTTAGGTGTACATAGGGCTTCGGTGTTTAGGATTTGCTATTCTGGCTTATGAGTGCAAGGTTTTCATCTGCAATATCGGGAGCTGCGGGATTCGAGAGAATGAAATGTCACGGAAAATGACAGAACATCGGCGATCAAGCTGCCGAGGACCGTATGGCTCGTGTAAATTATGCTTGAAGACAACATTCAAATCGAATTACCGGAGAAGTTGTTGTCATTGTACTGACCCAGTTGAAGCGTCATTCTCATGAAGCCAGTTGATGAGCTTTTGCCCGCATACTTGCAACAACTCTGGAGCTGCGTTCTCTGCCACATCGTTTTGGGCATGAGAGAAAATCAACAGCAACCGGACGATCCCGACACGAGCTGCAGCGGTTGCCCTCATCAAAGATGTGCGCCCTGGCCAACGCCAGCCTCAAGCAGTAAGCCGACAATCTCGACGTGACCAGCGTAGAAGCAAGCGGGCGATCTCGACGTGACCAGCGGCGGATGCATTGTTCGACGCTGTGCGCCCGACGCCATCCGCCACATCCTTCTTGGCACCGGCCTCCAGCAGCAGGCGGACGATCTCGACATGACCAGCGCGGGATGCATTGTTCAACGCTGTGCACCCGAAGACATCCTCCACATCCTTCTTGGCACCGGCCTCCAGCAGCAGGTGGACAGTCTCGACATGACCAGCGAGGGATGCATTGTTCAACGCTGTGCGCCTGAATCGGTCTTCCGCATCCTTCTTGGCACCGGCCTCCAGCAGCAGGTGGACGATCTCGACATGACCAGCGGCGGATGCAGTGATCAGAGCTGTGCGGGAATTCCTGGCGTGCAAATTTGGATCTTGAGGCAACTGCAGCATGGACTCAACCTCGGCCATGGAACCCCGCTCAGCAGCGGATACTAGATCGTCGGCTTGCGATTGGGAAATATCAGCCAGCGGCAAGAGAACCAGAGTCAGGTCCATGGATGATTCCAGCTTGGCCGTGTCCTCCAAAATCTCACCGTGGAGAAGGAACCTTTGTCTAAACCGTGTTGCCATACCGTGAAACTGGTTCAAGCGTCGTTTCAGGCTCCTCACGTCACTGAGCTCCTCTGCCCGCTCCTCCAACTCTTCCACAGCAATTCTGGCCACTATGTCTCCAGATAGCATCCGGATTTGCAGCATCTTGCCGCAGTCTGAAGATGGTAATCATGAAGCTAATCTACTCTGCTTTGCTGTCTTGAGCAACAGCAGCTTTAAGGACTTATATAAGGAAATCATATTGAGGAACCCCAAAATTGGTAGGTTTTTCAGGCTTAAGGTAAACCCTACAGCGATTTGTAGGATTTAGGATATCCGGCTCACGACAGGCCTGGGGTTTGCAACTTAGGCTACAGAGTTGCAGGCTTACAACCCTAAACCCTAAACCCTAAACCCTAAACCCTGCTCCGCCTTGAGAATGCAGGGCTTCTGCTTTTTCCAGGGCTCAGAGTGTAGGGTGCAGGGCTGAGGTTTCCGTAGTCCAAACCCAGAGACTCCAATATCCCGTAATGAAGGCATATTTTAGGGTTTAGGGTTTAGGGTTTGGGTCCTTAGATTATGGTAGGATCCCTTATATGATTTAAGGTATATTCCTTAACTAGGGGATATTGGAGTCTCTGGGAACTTTCAGGGTTTACGGTTTAGGGCTTAGCATTAGGCTCGACGATGCTGCCCAGAGGCAGCACGATGGCCGTGCCGTCGTTGAGTAGCGCCTCGCATTCACGGAAACTTTTTCTGAATAACACACGGCTCCACAATAACTGTGCTCACAGATAAGAAGCAAAGCAGGGCTCCTGTAAGGGGCTCAACTTCAAGGGGTCGCTATAAGGGTGACTATAACGGCTTCGTATAAGGAAATTCAATAGCTAGATAGGGTCTCGGGGTATATTCTAGTATGCTTACTATGCCGAACCTCCTGGAATACGGTGGATGATATAAATCCTGCATTACCCATAATAAGGAAATATCCGAAATTCCCATTGTTTAGGGTCCTTAAGAGTAGCGCCTCGCATTCACGGAAACTTTTTCTGAATAACACACGGCTCCACAATAACTGTGCTCACAGATAAGAAGCAAAGCAGGGCTCCTGTAAGGGGCTCAACTTCAAGGGGTCGCTATAAGGGTGACTATAACGGCTTCGTATAAGGAAATTCAATAGCTGGATAGGGTCTCGGGGTATATTCTAGTATGCTTACTATGCCGAGCCTCCTGGAATACGGTGGATGATATAAATCCTGCATTACCCATAATAAGGAAATATCCGAAATTCCCATTGTTTAGGGTCCTTAAGGCAATGCAGGATTTATATCATCAACAGTAGCATTGCCAATTATTCAGGCGTAGTACCTGTGATCGACCACGAGACTTGAACACCCCTTACTTGTGGAAAGGTGCCGAAGCCATGTGGATGGTTGTCAAAATTATGGTCCCTTTTGGGGTACCCTAAATATTAGGTGCCATATTATATTAAGGACCCAAAAAGGGACCCTAATTTTGACAGCCACCCATGTATACAAGGCTTGGTATGATGATTGAGGGAGTACTCATTTGGTGCTTACACAATGCTTCCTGACAAAATTTGGGGGACTTACTAAGTCCCAACCACAAAAGAACCGTGAGAAGGGCAGCTGTATGCATTGGTCCGAAGCACGGTTAATGATATAAATCCTGCATTACCCATAATAAGGAATATACCATAAGTCCCATATATTCCCTATTATGGGTAATGCAGGATTTATATCATCCTAAACCCTAAACCCCCCTAGAGATCCCTTAAAGGAGCCCCCTAACGGTACCCTTATAGATCCCTTTAAAGGAAACCTAGGAATCGTAGACCTGAACCATACATCTGAGATCCGAAACGCCCACAACCTCAAGAAACGCTCATAACACAAAAACAACCGTTCTGGGAGGGTTTAGGGTTTAGGGGTTTAGGGTTTAGGGTTTACTGATTGCCCATGTGACTTTGGGCTCTTGGGTTAGGCTTCGGCGTATGCTGCACTATGAAATGAGCACATTGGGTTTGATTTTGGGGTTTGGGGTTGACTGGGCTTGAGCAAAAACTGTCAGCCTCATGTAGGGGTCGCACTCGGCTACCCTGTCATCAAAGATACCGTGCTTTTGTACCGATGGCTATCTATCTGTGTATGCACCCAAATATATGCCACAGCATTAATCAAAAAGTTTTCTTCAAAGCCTAAAGCCTACCTGCAGCCGAAAAGACCTACTGGTTTAAGGAACTATATATAGAAACCATGATAAGCAACACTAAAGAGGTAGGTCTTTTCGGCTACAGGTAAAGCCTAAACCCTACCTCGGCCCCCCGAAAAGTAAAGAACCCACCCGCTGCACAGCTGAGCGCGGTGCTTCTCCCTGAATCAAGACCTTGTTCAAGCTTCGTGTTTGCCTACATACGTAATTAGAATAGGGTTTTGGGGGTATAGTATACTATACATATACTTAGGGGCTGAGTACCCTAGCCCAAAAAAGGTTAACCTTTTCAGTTATGGTAGGGTTATATAAACCCCAAAAAGTTAAAGGTTATCTACTCAGCTACTAAGTATAATAAGGAACCCCCACAATGGTATTGAATGTTATTTCAGCGCCAAAAGTAAGGTCTAGGGCATGTCGGAAGCTCCTGGGACGAGGACTCCAGAGACTCCAATTAATTAAGGAATATTCCCTAAATTATGGTAGGATCCCTCATATGAGTTAAGGCATATTCCTTACTTAAGGGATATTTATTGGAGTCTCTGGGGCTTTTTGAAGGTGGCTTGCGGAGTTAACGCCCTCGGGATTTACGGTTTTGGGGGCTTCCAGGTTGTAGGATGGGGGCTGGAAGGTTTTAGGGCTGCGGACGTATGACGGGAATTGCGGAAATGAAGTATGTCTTTTTACCATATTCCTGTAGGCTCATACCTGCACGTACCCCTTTTAAGGAAACCTACTTTTCTATACAGCGGATCCTAACCGAAAAGTACCCTTAAGAAGGGCAGGGTATGAGCCTCTAGGTTTGCAAAGGGCTTCCAACATGGTCTGGGATCTGGAGCCCAGGGTACACGTTTTGAATTTTGCCGTTTAAAGGCTCAAAAGAACGAGGATGACCACAAGATACACTAGCTAGCTGGGGTTTTGGAGACCCGAACAGCGTTAATGCCAAGGATAGCGGAAATGAGGTTCAAGACTGCGGGAAGGTTTCCCCACAGACTCGCAAAATGTAGGGGATTGTATATATGAGACTGAAATGTCCTACAGTCCGGATACAATTGCGCTGTAAAAATACCTCAAATCAATCTTCTCTTACAACAATCTACCTTTGAGCAGGGGTCATGATTCAAGCTTTGGGGTTGTGGAAGTGATGCTCCAGCCCTTTTTTTCCGCCAGCACCGTTTTAGGGTCGAGGTTTCCTTGCTTGAAGGCTAAGGGCCGAGCATTTTGGGATGTTCAGGGGTCTAGGGTGAAAGCGAACTGTTGAAGTCCAAGCATTCCAAATCGGCTCAGGTGGCATGTTCCCTAAACCCTAACTGAACCCTAAATCCCTCAACCCTAAATCGGTGCTGCACCATGAGCCCAGAAGGGATGATGATGATGATGATGATGAGAACACGCTTAGCCCTAAACTCTAAACCATTAAGCCCGTGCACGCGGAGCTTCCGGCAATATGCGGGAGTTATTCATTAGAACAGGTTTGTGGGTGGTAGATTGTACATATACATACAAATATTTACGTAAACATATACATATACATATACAGGTACATATACATACATACACCCACACATACACGTACACATACGCATACACAACACATACACATATACGCATACAGATACGCATGCACATCCATATACATATACGCATACATATACATATACATATACATATACAGATACAGGTACAGATACAGATACATACGTACATACATACATACACACATACATACATACATACATACATACATACATACATACATACATGCAACCCCTCTTTACATATATAGAATATTTAGTATGGTATAAGATCCTGTAGGTATAAATGTTAGAAACTTATGGATATCGATATAGATACTATATACATACGACAACTAAAGTGAGGAACTCGAAGAAGCAATGTGGGAGTTTCCGAAAATAGGGGACCCCCAATATGGTACCCGAAATAGTAGGATCCTTATTATAAGGACCCCAAAATAAGGTACCCCCATTTTCGGAAACTCCCATGTTGCTGTAGGTATTCAGGCGCCAGTAGTAACTGAGCTCGCTGCTGTCAGAGTTGGCGAGGCACCCAGCTCCTGAGGCTAAGAACACAGAGACTCCAATATCCGTCAATAGACTTAAGGGCTGAGTACCCTAACCCCAGAAAAGGTTAACCTTTTCAGTTCTGGTAGGGTTATATAAACCCGACAAGGTTAAAGGTTATCTACTCAGCTACTAATTAAGTAAAGGAGTATACCTTGAACTATAGTAGCATCCCTGATATGATTTAAGGTATAAACCGTAATCAAGGGATATTGGAGTCTCTGGGAAGAGGGACTCCGAACCCCTGCGTTCAGGAAGATACATTTACTAGGTTGTAGTTTCGGGGCTCTGAAATGTATTTCTGAAAAGGCACCTCTATAGGAACCATAAAGGGGAATGAACAAGCTTCCCAAATTGCCACCTAGTTTAAATCCTAAACCCTATACAAGGCGTTTGCCTGAGGAAGTCTCTGGGTGTCAACAAACACACACGCAGTCAGCCTACATATATAACCCTGTTTGCTGGCTCCTTCGACGCGTGAAATGGACGGCACAAAAAGGCTTTCTTGTTGACAACTTGGATGAGAGGCTGATTCCTGCACCTCAAAACACTCAACTCCTGACAAAACCCAAGAATGCCCTTGAAATCTCAACCCCAATCCCGGTCCCCTGTTCAACCCTCTTAAGCCCTGCGTGCCCAGATGTTCCTAAGCCACACTGCTCGGCTCCAATACCCCTTAATTAGGGAATATTCCTAAAATCATATTAAGGATCCTACCACAATTTAAGGAATATTCCTTAATTAAGGAAGATTCCTTAAATTATGGTAGGATCCCTTATATGATTTAAGGTATATTTCCTTAATTAAGGGGTATTGGAGTCTCTGGGCTGCTCGGCTCCTTCAGGAGCGCCACCACAGCCACGGGGTCCGTGGCACAGAGAATGGAGCCTGGGTTTAGGGTTTAGGGTTTAGGGTATAAATCCTGCATCACCCATAATAAGGATGCAAGAATTCCCATAGTTTAGGGTCATTAAGGTAATGCAGGATTTATATCATCAACAGTTGCTGGCCGCGTGGAGGCTTTTGGGTTCAGGATGGTTCAGGCCTTAATCATAAGGACTTTTAGGGGGGTAGGCTAGGGGGAGGGTGTGTAGGGGGCCTTAATGCCCCTAAGAAGGACCTGATAAGGCCAATTTAAGGAAGTATAGTCCGCTACCCCCCTCCCAACTAACCCCCTAAGGGTCCCTATGACTTAATGATCAGGGGGCGGGGTCCATTGAGCACAATTATTTTCGGTAACTCTGAGAAATCCAATTGGCAATGATGCAGGCCATCACAATAAAACAATTAGACGAATAGTGTTTTGGGGCCCATTATACTGTACTGTTAAAAAGGGACCCCAAACAAGTATTGAAAATTATTCAGGCCCTATAGTACTTACTTGCTCCGCTCTGTAGTGACTGTAGCGCAGAAGAGGCCAAGCGGTTGGTTGCAACTCCGAGCTGAACTTCGATGCCTCCCTGGAGTACCGGACCTCCCGTCTCATGCGGTCCAACGACTGCTCCAAAGCTGACTTGCACAATGCCTGGAATCTCGAGTCGCTGCACTGCGATGGAGGCGAATCGAGGTGGTTTGCCACGACCCCCAAACAAAACAATCAGGTGCCCTAAACCCTAAACCGTGCTCGCGCAAAGCCTTCAGCAACTCCAGAATGCCAATCTGCTCGGAGGAGCGACCCAACAAGTCCTCCATGCCGAAAACCCTAAACCCCTAAACCCTAAACCCAAAGCCCTGAACCCCAAACCCTAAACCCTACCCTAAGCCCTAAACCCTAAGCCCTAAGCCCTAAGCTCTAAGCCCTAAACCCTAAACCCTAAACCCCCTGAACCCTCAACCCACACACAAAGGAGGAGGTGCAGAGGGTCCACCAGTAAAGACTCGTGTTGTTAAATTCCCCAAAGTGTGGAATCCGCTGAGATGGGAGTTTCCGATAAGGGTCCTACGATTTAGGGTGCTACATGAGGGTCCCCTATTTTCGGAAACTCCCAGATTGCACGGTCACTGCTCAGAGCTTCTTCATCGGGTCGCCTAATTACAAGAAAAATCCCGGTGAAGCTTAGCCCCTGTATTCTCGTCCCTGGACCCATGCATTACCCAAAACAGTGCCTGGGCTTGGACCGAAACCTGACTAAGCAACACAAGCTTCGCTTCTTATCGTTTTTTGGGGGGGGTCTATTTGGAGGTTCATGGGTAGCTGTAAGCAGGGTTATAAGTCCCCTAATATGGGTTACAAGTATAGCTACCCTACTTATAACACTACTTATAACTACCCATGAACCTCCAAGTAGGGTTTAGGGTTTAAGGATTAGGTTTCTTGAATGCTGTCTACCAGCCACCTGGCACTCGGAAGCTGGAACCCGTCAGCCTTCCCCTTCATATAGGGGCCTTAATACCTGTAATGGGGTTTTGGGATGGGGGATGGACTATGAAGGCCCCTACAGGGAACTCCAGAAAGTTGGAATATGGTTTCAGGGTAGGGTATCCACCCTATAATTTACCATAAAGGGTTTAGGATAATCATATTCCAACTTTCTGGCTTCTACTGTAATGGGGTTTGGGGGGGATGGACTATGAAGGCGCCTAAATTCGAACCCTCAGGGCCAAGTCCGCAAACTCAAACCATGAACTGCTTGGAGCCCTAAGCCCGGGCCCCGCCTTAGCTAGAATAGGCTTCCTTTAAAGGGGTCTATAAGGGATACTATAAGGAATCTACAAGGGTACTATAATATAGGACCCCGTCCCCAAGAAAATAGTATAGGTACTTAATTAAGGCCTCTATAGTAACCACAAACCCTCAACCCCGAACCCTAAACCCTCCCGCTCGCCTGTGGTAAGGCACAAGAGGAAGGGCCACTGATAAGGCAAATACCTGAGCAGGAGCTTCTGGAATTCAGGGTTGAGGAATGTGGCAGTTTCTGTCTGATGCTTTCCCGATCAAGGTCATGGGCGAATTAAGAAAAACAGCACGTAACACAGCGAAGCGCAACCGACAGCTTGACAAAGCACGACTCTTGAAAACCTTATGCAACTGCATTAAGTAGCCCTAAACCCTAAACCTTCTACCTTTAAACCCTGTGCTCTAAGCCTTACAAACTAAAACCTGATCCGAGGCGTGAAGACAACAATTGGCACCACTTTATACTCTGGCTGACCTGCTGGCAAGTAATATAGGGGCCTTCGTAATTAGAATAGTGTTACGGGGCCCGCCATACTATATTCACAATAAGGACAAGGGCCACGGGAGGTTCTGGGCTCAGGCTTCCTGCTCCCGGAAGCCAGCGAGAGATGCTGGCAACGTCTGCAGCTTCAACAGCACGGGTTTAGGGTTTAGGGGTTCAGGGGTTTAGGATTTAGGGTTTAGGGGTTTAGGGTTTAGGGTACCACCGGGAGCAACCGATTGGTGTTTATCTGGGTAATGTTGATTAATATAGGGGCCTTGTAATTGTTAGAAGACAGTCTTGCGGGCCATAAAACTAGACTCATAATTAGGAACCCCCAAAATACTATTGCTAATTATGAAGGCCCCTATATGAAAAGCATGTTGGGTTTGGAACCACTTGTTACATGCTAGCCAGGCCGACTGCTCTACCAGCACCACCAACTCGTCGAAAGCGTAGGAAACCAAATCGAGCGGTGAAGTTGTGTGTTGGATCGGAAGATGCCATAGTGGGCCAGGCCGGAGGGAATCACAGATCACAGGTATGTGGGGCTTACCGCGTTGAAGGCAATCTAACTATACAAAGATCAGGGTATCATATGGCCTTAATCATGAGAATGGGGTTTTGTGCGTCTGGTGTACTTTAGAAAGAGTCTATGGGCATGCTGTGCTTATGGTGTCGGGGATGAAGCTTCGTGGGGTTTGGGTCTGCAGAGCTTTGGAATGTTATATAACCTACCTTTTTATGGACTTGTATAAGGAAATCAGAATTAGGAACCCTAAAAAGGTAGGCTATTCGGGGTTAAGGTCTAAGGCTTGAGGATTTACGGTTGACACCGTGAGCATTGAGGGCCTCGGAACCTGCACCAGCACCAAACCCTAGGGTTTAGGGTTTAGGGTTCAGGGTTTAGGGTTTAGGGTTTAGGATTCCGGGGTTGCTGAAGGCCATGGCACACGTAGAGGAAGCACGCCGCCAGCAGGGCGTTGATGAGAACACCTCCAGAAACGTCGCACGCTTGGGGCTAAAGAGTCTGGGGTTTAAGACGAAGAAAAAGCCCTAAATCCTAAACTCTTAAACCCTACGGGCTTTAGGCTTAAGAGACAAGAGGGTCGAGGGTGGAACCAAGATAAGGAATGTAAGGATCCGACATCTGCGTGGATTCCGGCATACCTTAACATAAAGCCTTGATAATTGAAATAAGACTTTGGGGTAGATTGTGCTGCAGTTATATAGGTACGGCGTGAGCCTGCCCTTGACCTCCAAGCTAAAGACCACCAACCTGCCCCCAAAGCCCTAGACGCTGAACCCAAAGCCCTGAACTTGAAACCCTACGCCTTCTCAACCTTTGCCACATGCTGCTTGTACATCTTTCGCAATTAAACGCCTACCTGAACCCCCAAAAGGAGGTAAAATAAAGGGCTATTATTCTACATACCTTTGGGGTCCAGGTAAAGTCTTGCTCAACCCGTCTTTGGGCGTTGCAAGCTTTCCGGGGATTAGGGGGACCCTTGGCCTCTCCATAAGGTTCCTCTTATTGAAGAAAGCCAGAAGTAGCGTTAAAAAGGGTCCCCTTTAAGGGGTCTCCCTAGTACTTCCTACAAGAATGAGGCTGCTCTGAGGGCTTAGGGGTCTTAGGGTTTTGGGTTTGGGCTTTAGGGTTCTGGGGATTTTTGGGCTTAGGGTTTAGGGTTTAGGGTTCTGGGGATTTTTGGGCTTAGGGTGTAGGGCTCCCTGATACTACCTGGGATTCTTTAGAGTCCCCGATGCGTCCATCGCGGGGTCCCCTAGAATTTTAAATTCAGAACCCTAGAGACACTAGCTTTATGCTGTCGCATACAGGGGCCTGAATAATTGGAACAGGGTTTTGGTGTAAAGTAGAATATGCCCGTAAGAGGAACCCCAGGGAAGAGTATTGGTAACTATTCCGACCGCTTATATTCTCCAAAACACCAAACCCTAAACCCCTATGTTGTTGAGTAGCCCCTTTATAACAAGGGTACCCTTTGCTACTATTCTGTTTCAGTCAGGAGACCACAAAATTCAATTGGCACAAGGGCACTACTCAGGAACCTAGACCCTATGAATATAAATCTTAACCGTATGTAGTGCCTGGTCCGGCGAGGTAGATGCACTGCTTGGCGACGCGCATGGCCACTCCTGTGCCAGTGTGTAGGTTTTAAGGGCTGCTTGGACAATCATGGGACTAAGTAAGTCAGGAAATAAGTACCTTAAGTGGGCTTATAAGTGCGTATAAGTATAGTTACCTGATTTATAACCCCAGTTACTAAGTCCCATGATCCTTTAAGTAGGTTGCCAGACCTATACAACTAGTCGTAAAAACTATCAAGCCTCATAACCCCGTATACGGAGCCCTTTTAAACCGGTATGCTTGCTTTAGCACCCCCTGGACCATCCTCATAGCTACCCATGAACCTTCAAATACAAGCCCTAAGCCCTAGGCCCTAAACCCTTAACCCTCAACACTAACCCCTAAACCCTAAACACTAAACCTTAAACCGCTTAACCCCTGGAACCTTCAAGCATAAGCCCAGAGCACGAGCCCAGCGAACCTGTGTGGATGGTCATGGCGTCGGCCATTAGAAGACTTGGGAGCATCGTGAAAAGCAGGAGGTGCGGATCGATCTCCCTGCGCTGTAGGGTTTTATAGGGTTCCTTTTAGAGGGCTCTGTATAAGGGTTCCTATAAGGGATCTATAGTAGGGTTCTGGAATATAGGGGCCTCAATAATTGGAATAGGGTTTTGGGGCCCATTATAGTATAGTTAAAATAAGGAACCTTCAAAATAGCATAGGTAATTATTAAGGCCCCTATAACGTCGGGTTTGGGGTTTGGAGTTTAGGGTTCAGGGTTTAGGGTTCACGGTTTGGCGTTTAGGGGGTTCAGGATTTAGGGGCTTTGGGGTTTAGTGGCTCAGGGGTTAGGGGGATCCACGGTTTAGGGCTCAGGGTTTAGGGTTTAGGGGCTCAAGGGTTTTGCAGTTTGACGGTTCTTGCGCCTGCTTAGCCCAGAGGGTCCGAGTACCCAAATAGTAGGGTTTTAGGTCCCAAAATCCATACTCTGAATGGTTTTTGGACTTCGAAACCCTACTATTTGGGCACTTGGACCCTTAGGGTAGGATTCTTGGGGTAGGGATTCCTTAATATGAACCCAATTATGGGAACCCTCATCCCTACTAAACCCCCATAGGCTAAAACCCCTTTTGGCCTCCTATGAGTTTTGCGCCTGCTTAGGAGTTTAGGATTTAGCTCTTCGGGTTCAGGGCTTCGGACTTTCAGGATCAGGCTTCGGTCAAGCAAACCCTAAACCCTAAACCCTAAACCCTAAAGCCTAAACCCTAAACCCTAAACCCTAAAGCCTAAACCCTAAAGCCTAAACCCTAAAGGGCCTGATTTTGGGCGATTTGGCACTGGGGTGGTGGACTTGGGTTCAGAGATTTGGGCAACCCCTACAGGTTTCAAGCCTTCAAGATAGAAGATACCTCGGTGATAGAATGTATGCAGACCTTTAGCAGTTCGGCCGTGTCTACCACGGTTCTTTCCACCTGAAACTTAAGGTTTACTTTTGATGTTTTATGGTGCTGTGTTTCAGAGTTGAGGGCTTAAGGAGCAAAGTTGACGGACGTGGATGCAAGCAAGCTGCATCCACATCTGCCACGACGTCTCCCAGGATGCGTATCCTGGGCTTTTATGTAACCGGGGAGGCAAAAGCAAAAACTTCTATCATAGTGGTTCCTTCAAGAATCAGACCCAAAACCCTAAACCCTAAATATTCAAGTATGGTACTCCATAGCCCAGTATCTGCTTTCCACCGGGACGGCGTTGTGGATCAGGGCGATGATGATGCCGGTGATGAACAGCGCCACTGTTTGCTGAAGTCCTGGAACCGGAGGAAGCCCTATTATAGGTGCCTGACTATAATCTGGGTTGTGCTTTAAACCCTTTGAAAGTTATTTATGAATAGGTTCCCTTTATATGGAAATGAGTGAAAGTAACAATTATCCCAAAGCACAACCCAGCAATGTTAATAATTGAATGGGCTTCCTTTTAAAGCGGTCTATAAGGGCTAGTATAAGCGGTCTGAAAGGGCACTCTAACACAAGGCCTTAGTAATTGGAATGGGGATTTGGGGCCCGCTGTACTATAATCATGACAAGGAGCCCCCAAAACAGTATTAATAATTATTGAGGCCCCAAAACTAAAACCTAAACAACGGAAGCAGAGTTGGGAGAAACCAGGAGGAATTCAGGTAAATGCGTGTGCGTTGACCAGCATTGTATATACACTCACATATGCATGTAGCTAGAACAAACATACACACGCGTTTCGTACGTGTGTATGTATGTATGAACCCCAAACCCTAGGCCCTAAACCCTAAGCGTATGCATTGTATGTGAACACTTGGAGGTTCATGGGTAGTTAGAAGTAGGGTTATAAGTCCACTAATATGGGTTATAAGTATGATTACCCTACTTGTAACCCTACTTATAACTGCCCATGAACCTCCAAGTAGAATCCCTTATAGTATCCCTATAGAGCCCTTTAAAGGGACCCTTAAAGGAACCCTTATAACTACCCATGAACCTCCAAGTACTGTATCACAGAATCCGAAGCCTTGGATGAGACTCCAGGGTTTGAGATGTCCGGGTTCGGGCCGTGCTGCACCCTTTACGAGCCTAACTTTTCGGGTGTTGGGTGTGGTTTAGGGCCTAGTGGTTTAGGGTTTAGGGCGTAGGTTTAGTGGTTTAGGGTTTGGGTTTAGGGTGTAGGGTTTAGGTTTAGGTAAGGTTTAGTGGTTTAGGGTTTGGGGTTTAGGGCTATTTGGAAGCTAACATGCTTGGGGTTTGGCATTCCTGAACCTCAAGCGTTTGCATGTTCAAGTCACTTTTCGGCTTGTAATGCGCAGTCCTTTGAAATAGTGAATCATGGTGAGGGCAGTGATGAGGGTGCCGATCGTGAAGGAGAGCAGCAAGAAAAACAGTCCATCGTGAGGATGGCTGTGATGGCCTCAGAAAAATCTCCAGGTCTTGAAGCAGAATACTAGATGATAAGCTCCCCAACCCTGAACCCCGAAAAAAGTCTCTGAACCGCCGCATCCCTAAACAGACCCTAAATTCGACCTGAAATGAGACTCTAATCCATAACCCTAGACTAGGATACCCAGTAACCTAAGAACAAAAAGGCCTCTCTTTTTGGTATTGGGTAACTTTATAAGGAACCTAGGACTACAAAAAGGGAATAAGGGTACGACTGGGCATCCTAGTAGAGTCGAGATCCGAAGTCTCGCTTCACAAATGGAAAACCGTTCTGCTACCCGTATACTAACCACTATATGGGAGTTTCCGAAAATTAGGGATACCTTATTTTGGGGTCCTTATTATAAGGATCCTACTATTTAGGGTACTATATTAGGGTCCCCTGTTTTCGGAAACTCCTAAATAGGAATCCTCATATGGATGGTTGTCAAAATTATGGCCCCGTTTGGGCTCCTGGCTATAATACGGCACCTAACATTTAGGATACCCAAAAAAGGGCCATAATTTTGACAACTACCCATATGAATCCAAACCCTCAGGCCTGAAACCTACAGCCTTCAAGGTGTTAGGCTTGGCTGGCCATCCGAAAATGTCTCACCCCTTGCTCCAATACAGGGTTTAGGATTCAGGGTCTAGGGGTTCAGGGTCTAGGGTTTAGCGAGGGGTTGAGATTTCAACCTAAACCCTACACCCCAACCCTAAACTCACGATCCCCATGTCTTCTAGCGTAAACCCCAAACTATGACCCGAGCCTAAAATTAAAATCAAAACCCTTAAACGCGAAAATGCAAGCCCAAACCCAAACCTGCAAGCCTCAAACTCCAAACCTAGGGAAGTCAATAAGGGTTTAGGGTTTAGGGTTTAGGGTTTAGGGTTAAGGGTTTAGGGTTTAGGGTTTAGGGTTAAGGGTTTAGGGTTTAGGGTTTAGGGTTTAAGGCATATCGCTGGCAGTATGAAGTGGAAAAACACTCTGGGGCCGCTACAAAAAAAACCTACACAAGGCCCATGAATGGATTTTTCCATCACGATAGGCAACCCAAAGTCCTTGCCAAAAATACGATAAGCACCATGAACAAATCAAACGCATCTGTAGGACTCCAATAAAACCCCAAAAGAAAACTTAGCAAAACTCTTGGCACACAACGATCCGCCCTCATAGCCTCCCAACCACTCCGAAGTGCCTTGGTCGTGGTCGCTGCCAGTGGCGTTTACAGCGCCTCACTCTTCGGTGGATCGCTTAAGCTTAGCCAGTGTCCTTTATTTGGGGAGTTTGGTCTTGTGGTGCCTGACAGGGTTGAGCTTCCAAGTGGTGAGCCTGGGCTTCCCGGTTTTAGGTTAGGGGTTTGACGACTTGGGTTTGGGGCTGCGGTTTTAGAGTGCATGGTTTAGGCTACAGGATCGAGGGGTTTAGTGTTTAGGGTTTGCGGTTTAAGTCGTCCAAAAAGCAGGTTATACTCTACCGATTGAAACTTACAGCATGGACAAAGCCATGTTTCAAGCTTGCCTGCATTACTAGAATTCCATTCATAGGGTCAAAGGTAGGCCTGCTGTACCCAAAGCCTTGAGGGCTTTGAGTTTTCGTGTCGGACCGTGAACCCGAAACCCTAAACCGTCAAGGGTTTAGGGTTTAGGGTTTAGGGTTTAGGGTTGGAGTTGGGTATTCAGTTTTAGCCAGACACCCATGTACCTTGGAATATGCTGGCCAATGAATTCACCAAGGATTGTGACCTAACTTGCGAAGAGCGAAGGGATCCATTAAAGGGGACCATTAGGGTTTAGGGTTTAGGGTAAATCCCAAATCCTACAGCCTATTGACTCGGCTAGGTAGCGCGAATCACAACCCCCGAGAAAGCTCTGATGCCCCCAATAGGGGTTCAGGGTTTAGGGCTTTAGGAGTTGAGGGCTTCAGGGTTCAGGGTTTAGGGCTTTAGGAGTTGAGGGGTCAGGGTTTAGGGCTTCAGGGGTTCAGGGTTTAGGGGTTTAGGGGTTCAGGGTTTAGGGCTTTAGGAGTTGAGGGGTTCTGGGCTTAGGGGTTTAAGGGTTCGGGGTTTAGGGGTTTAGGGGTTCAGCGTTTGGGGGTTTAGAGGTTTAGCATTTGGGGGTTTAGGGGTTCAGGGTTTGGGGGTTTAGAGGTTTACGGGTTCAGGGAAAACCATCCTGGTAAACCCCCTATAAGAATCCTTCGTCGAAGACCCTGCGTTCTAAACCCCCCAAGACCACTCGTTTTTGCAACCGAAGAAAATCGAACCCAAATCAGAGCCCTGTGAAACCCCGAAAACCCTGAAGCCCCAACGCCAGAGCTCGAAAAATCCGCCAGAGGCCTGAAAAGGCGGGATGAAGATAGGTATTCAGAATCCATGACATATTGTGGGATTGCCCCACCTACCTCCGTCCCACCCTTGAAGCGCTTTGAACTTACAAGGTCGGGCTTGGTTTGCGTCCTGCGAGAAGCCGCCCCACTTCGGCGGCAGGCAGCAGAGGCTGCGGAAGCAATTCGTAGTGGCCTGGGCAAATTCTCCATATCTATGTCAGATTTTCAAACGAATAATGATTTATCCCACCCGGCCTACTAACAGTGACCACAAACACAAGCACAAAAAACAGCACCAGACAAACCGCAAAAAATCGAGTAGTTAGTGATCGCAACCTCCAATTCGGGAACAAAATCAATGAAACATTGGTTGCATCCCATCTACTTCGCGTGGAACCCCGAAGCCCAACCCCCAAGCCCTAAGCCCTCAGGAAAACCCTAGGCCTTCAGCCCTGAACCCGAAACCCACCCTAAGCCCTGAACCATCGGCCCGATCTCTGTCATAGCATTGCTTGCATTGGGGTGGATATGGTAAAAAATGCAGAAAGCATCGCTCTTGGGCGGTTTCAGTCAGGATCCTGGCATTGGCTGTAACGACGAGCTTTACGCCCCCAACCTGTTACTGCAGCTCTTTGTTGAGGGGCGTTGCTGAGGGACTTTGTTGAAGTTGCATGCCTGCCGGAACTCCCCGGCCAGTTTGGTCTAGTTTCAATTACCTACATTGCCTCAACCAAGCTTTTGCAACTTTTGGCCAATTCTGCTAGTGCTCTTTCTTGTGCTTCATAGTTTTATATCAAAGCTTGTGCTTTTTCTGGTGCTCGAGATTGTGCTCATGACTGTGCTTTTTCTGGTGCTCGAGATTGTGCTCATGATTGTGCCTTTTCTGGTGCTCGAGATTGTGCTCATGATTGTGCCTTTTCTGGTGCTCAATTTTGTGCTCATGATTGTGCCTTTTGAAAGTAATTACAATTTACAAGCCAATGATTCGCCTCACGAACTCATACTGGCAGTCATGATGCTCGGCAAATTTGGTATCAACCTTTGTGCCTGTTCTGGTGCTCGAGATTGTGCTCATGATTGTGCTTTTTCTGGTGCTCCAGATTGTGCTCATGATTGTGCCTTTTCTGGTGCTCCAGATTGTGCTCATGATTGTGCTTTTCTGGTGCTCGAGATTGTGCTCATGATTGTGCCTTTTTCTGGTGCTCCAGATTGTGCTCATGATTGTGCTTTTTCTGGTGCTCAATTTTGTGCTTATGATTGTCATTCCGGGCTTCTTCGACGCGCAGCCCGCGTTTGCAAGCTGTGGCCTGTGCTTCTTCTGGACAGACCCGGCAGCGGTGCGCCCCGCCCCAAATTACCGAAAGCGAAACAACCCGAGTTTGCGAAGCCTGCGGGCCTAGGCTTCTTCTGTACAGACCCGGAAACCCCAGGCCTAAACTCCGAACCCTAAGCCTTCAGCCCCACATCCGGGCTCAGACAGGTTTGCCCTAAACCCTAAATTCCAGGGCCGAAACTCTAAACTCCGAGCCCGAAACTTTGAGCCCCACATCCGGACACTGAGACAAGCTTGCCCTAAACTCTAAGCCCTGGCCCGAAACTCAAAAACCCTGAGACCCACATTCCAGAAGCCTGACCAAGCCCAAGCCCCAAGCGACGTCAGTCCCACGGTGAATGTTTCTGAAAGTGTGATCAGGTTGCTAAGATTTAATTCATTGGGGCCTTCAAACCCTGGTGCTCATTTTTGCCAGTGTGCTATATAAGGAACCTTTATTTAACTGTTAGTGGGGAGGGTGGGATCCTAAATTTAATCTATGGACTTTTGTTGGGTGGTTTCCCCTAAAAGGCGGGCTTCCATGTCCCTGTAAGGCTTTTGCTGTCTTTATGTATGAACACCAAAAAGAGAGCCGTCATTGCATGAGCCTTCAATCTTCCAAACACGAACGCGAAAAGTCTCTCCTGTTCCCACAGATGACGAAGTGCAGAAAGCGAATTGCATAATACATGCAAATGTTAAAGAATATATGCTATCAAGGTCGCCAAAGCCGTGAGAGTAGCCCCCATGCTTCCTAAACAATCCCAGTATGCAACACCATGTTCAAATCATCCCTTATGTTGCTGTCAGCACATGCTTGTGCAGTGCTGTGCTCTCCACCCCCAACCCACACAACATCACTAGAAACCCCAATCTAGAGGGTTCATATATTCTAGTATGGAACGAGGTCCACAAACCCCTAATACGGATTGTCTGCTGTGACCCAACTCCCTAGGACTTTCTGGGAAACGCTAGACCCCGAAAACCCCCTTTAATGCAAATTCCCGGGCACGCTCCGCTACACCAGGCATCAATAGCAACCCTAGCTACTAAGCCCTAAATGCCCACAACCCTAAACCCCCCAAGCCTTACAAACCCTAAACCCCAAACCCCAAACCTTACAAACAAAATTCCCGATGCAGAAAGGCCAAACTGAGAGCCGGGCTCGCAAAGAAGAGGGCCCAGCCCAGTGCCGCAAGCCTTTGCTTTTGCCAGAGAGGGTGGGATTGGGCTGAAAAATTACTCCGGGCTTCTGTTTCTTTTCATTTTGCTTCCGTGGTAAGCAACAGTCCGGAAAATTCAAACACAAAGGTGGTTGTCAAAATTATGGTCCCTTTCTGGGTCCCTAGTATGATACGGCACCTATTATTTAGTGCACCCCAAAAGGGACCCTAATTTTGACAACTACCCACATAGGTTCCCACAGCGTCCTCCTCCCCAGAATAGGAAGGGTTGAGGGTTCACAATGTGGGAGTTTCCCAAAAATAGGGGTACCTTATTTGGTGGCTCTTAGAATAAGGATCCTACTATTTATGGTACGATATTAGGGTCCCCTATTTTCGGAAACTCCCATGCAGGGCTTAAGGTTTGGAGTTTAGGGGCTTTCGCGGTTCAGGAGCTCAGGAAATGGCTTAGGCCCTTGCCTAATGCAGGGGTTTATAGAGAGTTGCCTCTACTATTTTGGGGGGTTCCCGGAATTATAGTATAGTGGGTTCCAAAAACCCTATTCTAGTCAATAAGGCCCCTATATCAACCAGGGGCCCCCCCAGTATGGGCCCTTAACCCCGGGATCCTTCTATACCGACTATATACCCGATATAGACTCTTAAGGGTCCCTGGAGCTCCCTCACAGAGGCCTAAGGGTCCATATTAGGGGCCTAAACCCGGAACTACACAGCTCCAACCCGAATCCCGAAATCCCACAACCCTGAACCGCTGAAACTACACCACTAAGCCGAAACCCCCCAATTTTGAAACCCTAAAAAACCTTGTAAACCAGACCCAAAGATTTCCTTTAGAATTTAGAAAACTGGATGACTACCAATAGTATTTCTGGGGATTATAGCGTACAATGTACCCACAACCGTGTTCACACTTTCAAGACCCCTATATAAATTAACCTAAAATCCCCCTAGACCCCAAACCCTTTATAAGCCCAAAATCCCCCTAAAGCCTAAACCCTTCAGTAACCAAAAAGCCTTAAGCTCGTTTGGCTGAACCTCAGCCGCTGCCGCGATCTGCATAAGAACAACCCCCCAAAAAACATCTGAGGCTTTTAAACGGTTTAGGGTAGGGTGCAGGATTTGGGATTTAAGGCTTGGGGGTGCTTGCAGTGGAGCTTAGGGTCTCATGAACTCCCACATCCAACCTAAACCTGCATCGGTCGGGGCGCAGCCAGCCATTTGAAAGCCAGCTAGGCCTCGGCATCCGTCGCGGAACCTAGCTGAGGCGGGGGGGTGCAGCCGCGGGTCGAACACTTAGGGTTCGAGCCTTGGGACATGTTTTTGGGTTTAGGATACCTGGTTTTTGCGTTTTGGCATGCGGCATTACCCTGAGCCTCCAAGTATACAAGTATACAAATAGTACCAGCTTTGGGGCCTAAAGTCTATAAATAATACCTACTTTGGGCTATTTGGAGCCCCAGGGTTATTGCGTGATAAAGGACTGCTTGATGAGGATATTCACGAAGCGGGCGTCTTCCTCAAGGTTGAACGCAGGAGGGTTTTTGGGCCTCATAAGGTTCAAGCCTTCGGGTCTCAGGCTTAAGGTTTCAGGTGTAGGGTTTGAGGTTCGGCTTTCAGGGTTTACAGCTTCTGGCTCAAGGTGTGGGGTTTGGAGGCGACAGTTCTGGTATGGAGATTCTATTACTAGCCTTTGCACCAGTCCAACACCAATCCAAGCCTCAGGCCCTAAACTTGAAGCGATGCCCACAACACAACCATGCTGAACTAGGAGGACAGCCAACCATCGCAAAAGAAACGGAAGAACGGTGCAACATCATCGACAACCACAGCAGCAAAGACAAGAAGACCGACAATGAGAACAACCAAAGCTTCTAGTATCCTTAAGGGAGGGGGCTCCAAGGGGGGTATATAGCCTAGTGATCCCTAATTCTCCCTATTACTCCCTAAGGTTCCCTTACAGTCAAGGATTCCTTATACCCTCCCCCCTTGAACCACCCTCCCTTAAGGATCCTATAAAAAGCCACAACCATGACCACGACGAGGAGCGCCACCGCGAGCAGAGACCACGACGATGTCAAGGACAGCAAGAACAAAAGCAGGCCGAGGCATCAGTCACATACTATAGGGGCCTTAGTAACTAGAATAGGCACATACTAGAAGGGCTACTATAAGGGATCTATAGTAGGGTTCTCTGATATAGGGGCCTTAATAATTAGAATAGGCTTTTGGGGCCCATTTCCTATACTTATAGTAAGGAGCCCCAAGAATAGTATTGGTAACTATTTAGGCCCTTTTGAAGTTGAAAGCACAACCACGAGAGCAACGACAAGAATCAGGCTGGTGACGAAGACAATGACACAAATATCAGAAAATGATTGTCATCAGCACATTGAGCCATCACGAATCACAATGAGAAACCTGAACCCTAAACCCCTAACCCTAAGCCCTACACCCTAACAATCAGTGCGAATGAGGGATGATGATTAGGAGAAAATCCAGAGATCGATGATGGTGATGATGTTGGCTGATGATGGTGGCCCCCAAAGGCGAAAACTGATCACAAGGGCTTGGGGTTTGGGGTCCAGGGCTCCGGGTTTAGGGTTTAGGGTTTAGGGTTTAGGGTTTAGGGGTTTAGGGTTTAGGGGTTTAGGGTTTAGGGGGAACTGTGGCGATAAAAAGAGAAGGCGCCTATGGTCTCAATAAGTTTGTTCTTTCTACTGGAGTTCTGCAACACCATGAACAGGGACGAGAGATAACACGATTCTACTACACGTGCTCAACGTAGCTTGCTCAAGGTAGATTGCTCAAGGTATTGGGCTTTGGGTTTAGTCAGTTGTATATTGAACTTAGACCCCTAGCAAAAATCCCAATTGTTAGCTGTTTCTTAGGGATCATGGGAACCAAGAAATAAAACATGTTCTAAGTACCCGGAAGAGTTGCTGGAGGTATGACCAAGGCACACAAGCTGCCATTTCTCATCAGCCGGCACGAGCTCCTGAAAGCCATCCCGGCTTTAGGAGCTTAGGGTTTAGGGGTTTAGGGTTTAAGCTTTAGGGTTTGGGGGTTTAGGGTTTAAGGCTTAGGGTTTAGGGGTTTTGGGCTTAGGGTTTAGGGTCCAGGGGTTTAGGGCCAGTTTCGGGTTCCGGGGTTTAAGGGTTGAAGGATGAGGGCTCGCTGGTGCAAGAAGCACCCTCCTTCAGGGCTCAGCTTTGCCAGGAAGGCTCGGGAGAACTGTTTTCCCAGACTTTCGGGAGGATCCAAAAAGTAGATCCCTTAAAAGGGGTTCCTATAAAGTACCCTTAGTAATATACGGCCCCAAATTAGGGGATCTACTTTCTAGATCCTCGCGGCGTCTGGTTTTGTCAGCGGCTCTCTCGCCAGTTTAGGTTTGAGACTGCTGATGGGCAAAATCCTGCATTACCCATTATCAGGAATATACCATAGTTCCCAAAGTTTAGAGTCCTTAGGGTCATGCAGGATTTTGTCCATCAGCAGGATGTAAGGCTCCAAAGTCTTCTGGTCACGGGGCAGGCTCCAAGTTCAGGGGCCGAAGGAGAAACCCTAAACCCCAGACCTCTTAGTAGGGAAGGGAGATGGGTGATGGGGACTATTATTGGGGATTATATAGGGGCTACCGTAGGGATCCATTCCCCAATTCCCTACTAAGCACCAGACAGACTACTTGAAGGCTCATGGGACTTAGTAAGTAAGGTTATAAGTAGGTTATAATTAGGATAACCCCACTTAGGGGACTTATAACCCTACTTATAACCTACTTAGTAAGTCCCATGATCCTCCAAGTAAACTTCAACACTAAATCCCGGACCCTCTACCCCAAACCCTCTCAGCCCGAAACCCTGAAACCCCGGAAACTGTCTGGTGCTTAGCAGGGAATGGTGGGATGGATCCCTCTGATAGCCCCTTAAGGTCCCCTATAGTAGTCCCAATAACCAATTCCCCCATTCCCTACTTGGAGGATCATGGGACTTACTAGGTAGGTTATAAGTAGGGTTCTAAGTCCCCTAAGTGGGGTTATCCTAATTATAACCTACTTATAACCTTACTTACTAAGTCCCATGATCCTCCAAGTAAGCCCGAAACCCCAAAACCCCTAAACCCCCTTAGCTCCCAGTCCGACCCTGAACCCCCTTAGCCCCCAACCCTAAACCCCTTAAGCCCTAAACCCTAAACCCCCTTAGCCCCGAACCCTGAACCCCGGTAAACCCAATCCTTTAGGAACAGCGTTGCCAGGCCGAGAACAGCTCCATGGCGGACCGGTTAAAACATGCCCGTCTGTTTCGGTGTAGGGTTGAGGGTTTAGGATTTTAGGGGTTTAGGGTTTAGGATTTAGGCTGCTGGGTCTGTCAGGGTTTGGGGTGTTGGGGTTACGGCTTCGGGTTTGTTGGGGTTGAGGGTTTACGGTTTGGGGGTTCGCATACCTTTTGGAGTGCACTACTCGATGGTCCCACGCTTGGCTGAGCTGATCCACTGTCTCCCTTTCACATCGACCTGCATACCCCCGCTGTCTGCCTTTGTGTTTACCTGGCACTCCATACGGTCCATGTGGACTCTGGATCCCAACTGCACCGAGCAAGCAACTTAGGCTAGGGCCCAGGGCTTAGGGTTGAGGGTTTAGGGTTGCAGGGTCTGGTACCCAAGCTCTAGTACTTGAAGGCTCATGGGACTTAGTAAGTAAGGTTATAAGTAGGTTATAACTAGGATAACCCCACTTAGGGGACTTATAACCCCAATTATAACCTACTTACTAAGTTCCATGATCCTCCAAGTAGTCAAGTCCACAGCATGCTTTCATATGTGTAAAACACGCCATGGAGTAAGCGGCATGGGAACGCGCACGATGCTGGGTAACATGCAAGCCGGTGCCAAAATGGCAAGTAGACTGCTACTAGCTAGTCGCAATACCACCAAGACAACGACGACTACGCTTGCTGCTACTGCTGCTACCAGTAATAATAGCAATATTCATAATAATAATAAAGCATCATAGCCATAGCTGACAACTGGTGCAGCTCTTCGGGCTCTGCACCTGCAAACCCTGCACCCTAAACCTTTGGGCGTTCCACTTTAACCAGCAATAGGGACAGTTGGGCTGGGGGTTTTTAGGGCTAGGGGCTTATAGAGTTTATAGGGCTTGTAGGTTTTGCAGGGTTTAGAGTCTAGAGTTTAGGGTAGAATAGACTGCAGCTTTGGGGCAAAATTCAACAATGTATAAAATTAGCGACTGAAACCCACTCCTGAGACCCTCATCACAAACCCTGAAACCTCAAACAACAAAAATCCCCGAGCCCTCACACACGAAGCCCTTTAGCCCGAACCCTGCAAGTGCCAGGGCGGCCCCGTCTGTGCGGCATCTGGCAGGCGAGAGTGCTTTCAGGCGAATAACTTGGAGGATCATGGGACTTAGTAAGTCAGGTAAAAAGTACCTTAAGTGGGCTTATAAGTGGTTATACGTACAGTTACCGTATTTATATCCCCAGTTACTAAGTCCCATGATCCTTTAAGTAGGGTTGCATGCAGGAGTTTCCGAAAACAGGGGACCCTATATAACCCTAAAAAGTAAGATTCTTATTATAAGGACCCCTAAGTAAGGTACCCCTAATTTTCGGAAACCCCCATACCAGTTCTGGAAGCTTTCTGTCAGGACGTTACATGGGGACGTAGATTTTAGAGCCAGCTTAGGGTGCTACGGAAGGATCAGGGCGCTTATACTACACCTAAGAGTAACCTAGGAATAAAAAAGGGGGCCCCTTTCTCGGTTTAAAGGGGGTTATAAGGGAACCTGAACCCTTAAAAAGGGAATAAGGGCCTACTCTGGGTCCTAGTGAATTTTGGCAGAGGAGAAGGCTCAGGTGTTCAGTGGCTTGGTGTTTCGGGTTTCGACAAGCCTTTGGCCCGAAACCTGCGATCCCAAAGGCACAAGCCGTCAACCTGCTAGCTTTTAGGGCTTTGGATTTAGGGTTTATGTAATCCTTACTAAACCCCCAAACCCAGAGCTTTTAGGCACTTTTAAGCCGCTATCCCGGAATTGGATTTAAGTGCTTTGTGCGGGCTCTCAGCCTTTGATGCTTACGGCTTCTGTATTCGCACCTAAGTTTGGAAAGAACACACCTCGCCTGTCACCCTAACCCTAAACCCCTAAACCCTAAACTCTAAATCCTACCCTAGACCCCTAAACCCTAAACTCTAAACCACCTCTAACTCCCCCTAAACCCCTAAACTCCCAAACCCTAAACCCCCAAATCCTGAGCCCTACGACCGCATTCACAGGCTTGGAGTTGGAGTTGCCTTACTTGGAGGGTCGGGGGACTTAGTAAGTAGGTAGTAAGTAGACTTACAAGTACCCTAAAAGGGACCCTAACTGGGGTTTTGGTACTTATAACTCCGTAAAATAACCAGTTACTAAGTCCCCCCCGACCCTCCAAGTAGTAAGTCAGGTTATAAGTACCTTAAGTGGGCTTATAAGTGCTTATAAGTATAGTTACCTTATTTGTCACCCCTATGAAGCTGCTTGGGCCAAGGGCCAGGGCAGGGGGGCCTTTGGGGTTCAGGGCTCACCCTAAGGCTCCTAAGAGGGTCTTGGGTCTTGGGCTTTCTAGGGTTTAGGGTTTAGGGTTTAGGGTTTAGGGTTTAGGATTTAGGGTCTTGGGTCTTGGGCTTTCTGGGGGAGGGTTTCAGCTTTGGGGGCTAGGGTCCGGGATCTCACTACAAGGGTCCGGGAGCCTTAAGGCAGGGTTTAGGATGAGGGTGTAGGCCTTAGGATTGAGGATTACGGCTTAGGGCTTAGGATTCAGGATGAGGGTTTAGGCCTTAGGATTGAGGATTACGGCTTAGGGCTTAGGATTCAGGACTAGGGTTTAGGGCTTAGGATTGAGGATTACGGCTTAGGGCTTAGGATTCAGGACTAGGGTTTAGGCCTTAGGATTGAGGATTACGGCTTAGGGCTTAGGATTCAGGACTAGGGTTTAGGCCTTAGGATTGAGGATTACGGCTTAGGGCTTAGGATTCAGGACTAGGGTTTAGGGCTTAGGATTGAGGATTACGGCTTAGGGCTTAGGATTCAGGACTAGGGTTTAGGCCTTAGGATTGAGGATTACGGCTTAGGGCTTAGGATTCAGGACTAGGGCTTAGGCCTTAGGATTGAGGATTACGGCTTAGGGCTTAGGATTCAGGACTAGGGTTTAGGGCTTAGGATTGAGGATTACGGCTTAGGGCTTAGGATTCAGGACTAGGGTTTAGGCCTTAGGATTGAGGATTACGGCTTAGGGCTTAGGATTCAGGACTAGGGCTTAGGCCTTAGGATTGAGGATTACGGCTTAGGGCTTAGGATTCAGGACTAGGGTTTAGGGCTTAGGATTGAGGATTACGGCTTAGGGCTTAGGATTCAGGACTAGGGTTTAGGCCTTAGGATTGAGGATTACGGCTTAGGGCTTAGGATTCAGGACTAGGGTTTAGGCCTTTAGGATTGAGGATTACGGCTCAGGGCTTAGGATTCAGGACTAGGGTTTAGGCCTTTAGGATTGAGGATTACGGCTCAGGGCTTAGGATTCAGGACTAGGGTTTAGGCCTTTAGGATTGAGGATTACGGCTTAGGGCTTAGGATTCAGGACTAGGGTTTAGGCCTTAGGATTGAGGATTACGGCTTAGGGCTTAGGATTCAGGACTAGGGTGTAGGGCTTAGGATTTAGAATTGGGGTTGAGGCTTTAGGATTTAGGATTTGGGTTTACATAGGAGCCTTTGGGCTCACACATAGTCCAATGGACGTGTAGCCTAGGGTCTTGGATTTTGTGACTTAGATTTCAAGGTTTCGGCAGTTCAGGGATTCTAGGTACTGCTTCGTGGAGTGGGGAAATTATAATGTATAGCGGCGCGGGTGAACAAGGATGTAACCATGCTAAACCGGCTATGGGGCTTGCGAGCAGATTGCAAGTACCTTTGCTGAAGCCTTCAGAG